ATAGTTCCCTTGATAGTCCCAGTGCTTTTATTCACCTTGTATGCACATTCACACTGACTTTCACCAATTCGGAAGGTGTCCCAGGACCATATCTGAAGGATATCTTCCAAATGGGTTCCCTTCTTCTTAAAAAAAATACTCTGTCAAGTTTATAGCTTCTCCTGATACTTCTAAAGCTCATTAGTCAAGCTTTGAACTTGCCACTACTAAAAATTGGATCTGACTAAAGACGCCTTAAAGATGCACCTTAACATTTAGATAGCCTCTGAACCACAGATGTGCTTATTACAACAGTAACCCACTCCTGCTCATCGTGCTGTGAAAATGGTGAGGCTTGTGGTTGGGGCTGGCATGTCCAGTTTCAGGCCATTCTGACTGCACTCTCCCTGTCTTAATGCAAATTCAGGCCCAAGTGTTTCTGTTTATCCGACATTTCATGCTTTAACCTCCAATCTAAACATTATACTCCTTCAAATAAATCTCTAAGTTAAAGTAATAATGTGAGCCATGAACTAGATGATTTTGAGAATCGTCATAATAATAATTTAAACTCTTCTAATTTCCCATGTCTTTCTGAATGGGCCTCGCAAATTTTAAATTTAATGTTGATCTCATTCTCTGTGCACCTTCTCTGCAGTTGTAACATTGTATACTTCGCAATGTTCTGTTACCCTAATGTGCTTTATAAGGTATGACCTGCTTGTATGGTATGGTGGTACAGTGGTTAGCACTGCTGTCTCACAGTGCTGGGGTCCTGGGTTTGATTCCAGTCTTGGGCAACTGTCTGTGCAGGTTTCCTCCCACAAAGATGCCTAGGTTGGGTGGATTGGCCGTGCTAAATTATCCATAGTGTCCAGGGATGGGTTAGCCATGGCGGGGTGCAGGGATAGGGTGGGTCTGGTTGCAATGCTGTTTGGAGGGTTGGTATGGACCGAATGGCCTGCTTCCATGCTGTAGGGATTCTATTCTATAAACAAAACCTTTTGTTGTATTTAGGTACATGTGACAACAATAAATATTTCATCCAAATAGGAATTTTTGATTTCTAATTACATTTAAAATTATATCACATTGTATTATTATACTTGTATATAAGGTAATTTTAATGTAGTATCTAATTTTATATAATTATGTAATTGTGTTTTAATTGTTATTATTGCTGTTTTCTCTGTCCTGTCTCAACCATTTATTCTAAGCTACATCCTTCAATTATTTCATTGCTAATCTGTATTTAAACCAGAAGAGATCCAAATTAGAAAGGATGATTACTGTTTTCTTCTGACATACACCACATTTGCAATGGTGCTAAATAATATCAAGTAGTGTTTAGTCATCTTTTGGTGTCAAATACTAGGCTTTTTCCCTGATTCAGTTTGTACTTTTTCTCCAACCTTTAGTACTTGATTTTCCTCCTAGAGTCCAGTATTACGTCCTTCTCCTAGTCCCCAGGGTTTAATCCTCCTGTAGCACCCTGTGTTCAATCTTTCCTCATGTCAATCAGAGTTTAACCTTCTTGTTGGTGTTAAATATTCCTCCAGTTTAGACTGCACTAACTTTCCTCCTCTTGCTTCTTTCTCTCCACGCTTGACTGTCGAACAGGAAAATAGGGTAAGCGTTCCATTTTCATTACGTTGGGTCATGGTCTTCCTGCAGTTTGGAGTAAAAAAAGGATCAGCCTATTGTTTGACAGAGCAGACTCCTGCTTCCTGTTTCTATGTTAGTCAGTCACAGGCTGCTCCATTCTTTCTGTTTGTACTCATCTTGTGTTCAATACAAAACGCACTGAGGTGGATAGGGAAAGGGACACAGATTTCAGACGTACACCAGAGAAAGTAAAAGCCACACATCTTGATAGTATTTTGTTCCTTTGTTGACTTTTGATGCGTTTCGATACACACCCAAGTTGACATTCAATTGGTGGTTTGAGAGGTCTTGCCAAATTAACTTGTACGGTGGGTGCAGATTTTTGAGAAGAAAATAAATCAGTATGAATGGAATGGTTCCTGGAGAGGTGGAGAGCAATGAATTCTTGGTGTGTTGTTGTCGAGTATAGTTCTGGCTTCTGTCACAGAAGGCTCTCAATTCAGATTGCAGCCCCAAGACTCTAGCACTAAAACCGAGGCTGTCTCTCCAGTACCAGAGGAGCGCTGCAGTGTTGGAGGTGCTGCATTTCAGTTCAGATCTCAAACTGAGGCCCACAAGCCTGCTCAAGCGAATGTGCAAGATCCTGAGACACCATGCAAAGAACAGGGGAGGGGTACCTGGGGTCCAGGCCAATATTTACCCCTCAATCAGTATCACAGAGAAAGAGACTATCTAGTCACTAGCGGCTGTCCCTCGATTTGAGGATGATGTCTCCTCAAATTTATGAGTTGCTGCTGTGGGTCTTCATGTGAGCGATCAGTCTGATTCTCGACACACAGATCTTTGGGTACCATGGGAGTATGTCCCATGAGGTAGTGTCTCTCTCTTTCTCTCTGGAGTGCAGGATTTTTTTTTCCCATTTCCTTCCTTCACTGCTGTTCCTCTGTCTCATCTTTCTGGTGTGTGGACTCAAAGGGTGAATCAGCTTGATGGACAAGGTGTCGCCATTTTGAACAAGTGGTCATGAGCTGCTCCCAGTCACTGTTGTCAATACAATCAGGCATCCAGGAGAGTTTCAGAGAGCCATTGCAGGGATGAGGAAACAGGACCTGGGTGGGAGTGGGCATTTCAGGGCCATTCAGACACAGGTTCGAATCCATCATAGTTTGTTTTACAAGAGTTTTGCCAGGACGCTTGTGAAGCTGGCTTCAAGAAGGACATTAGCATTTGTTCAATGGTTCTCCCATTGAATCTGGAGAATGCAGTGTATGCATTGCTGGTGGAGTTTCTCTAACACTGTCTGTGTCACTGGTACACAATCCAGGGCTCATTGCAGTGCAGCACTGTGGTGCTGACTGTTGCTCTGTATATTGCTGTATGTGGCGGTCTTTGTTATGAATAAGTCGCTCCTGTAACCTGTAGAACATTGTTGGCAAAACGCATCCCTTGCCTGATCTCCTTGTCATTTGTGGCCTTTTGAGAGAAGTGACTGCCAAGGTGTGGGAAAGGCTCAACATATTCCAGAGTCTCTACGACACAGGAGGTGACTGACCAGGTCTGGTTTGATATGAGTTTTGTTTGGCAACATCCAAGGACTGAACCAAGTCTTTCAGATGCAAAATTAAAGAGATTGAGAGGGGCTTACAAACTTGGTGCAAGTGGAAATGACACTGCAGCCTCCTGTCTACTGTAGGTCTTCCGCGTTAATGGTGGACAATTTAACTTCGGTATTAAAGTGACTGAAGTTAAAGTGTTTTTCATTTGGACAGGATTAAATAGTCACAGCAGAGGACTTTTGATCTTTGATGAGGTGAATAACCGCTGATAGGTAGACTGTAATTAGTAGGGGAACCTATCATACAGTTTTGCTTGACATCAGTCAGATATCAAAATTGTCTGCTTCAGAATTCCCACTTGCAGTACTACCATCAGGCTGCAGTTACAAGAATGTGATGAAGTTTCTTACAGATTCAAATCCCTCTAGAACAATCCATAATAGCCTGGCAATTTACCCAACCAAATGCTTTGGTCACATTGTTGGACGTAATGAACAGTTCCTAGTGTTGTTCTCCTCATCTTTCTTGGATTGAGAGCAAAGACCATGTCAGAAATTTCCCCTGGAACGTCTCTGGCAGCATTTCCTCTTTCACAGGAACTGACCGAATCAGAAGAATGTAGGTCAGGACTTTCCCTGCTATAATTAAGAGGGAAAAACCTCAATAATTTCCGCTGCACATGTTATCCCCTGCCTTGAAGAGAGTTGCATTTCTGAAGTGGACTGGGGAAAGCTGCAGTTCTTTCTCCTAAACCCACAGGATGAGTGCCTGAATCCAGTTGCCATCAAAAGCACTATATAAATGCAAAGTTTATTTCAGTGCTGGCTGCATGTGTGCCCATAGGATAGGAAGGACTGTGAACCTCTGAAAGAGTTATCCCATCAACCCACTGATATGCCACATACCAACAATTTTCATTTACAAAGCTTTTAATATTATAACATGTTCAAACTGCTTTATCAATGCAATAGAGTGAACAGCACAATCTGTGATTTTCACAGAAGTGTTCCTCTCACATTTAATTATATTTTACATTTAATTATTTAAATATTGAAGCCCATTGCTGTCATTCCTTTCCTGGTCTCCATGCTGACTGCCTCTGTAATTGCTTACTCTCCTCATGTACTATCCATTTCCCTCTGAAAATTGGCATCAGCATCAGCTTCTCAAAAAGTCCACCTTCGGCCACTGTCCTCACAAACTCTCAAGCACACACGAACACGCAGTCTCACAAACACACAACTCACACATGCACACCTGTGTACTGGCAAACATGCAGCTGTCACACACTTGCATACAGAAACCTTTGTACACTGCCAAACACATAGCCTTAAACAGACGCACAACTGCCCCAACACTCAAACACGCAGTCATACACACATACACACACATAGATGGACTTAAACATGCATTTGCACGCACATCCCAAACCTGCACTTCTTTCTTCTAGAAGGACAAGGGCAGCAGATACTACCTGCAGATTCCATTTCAAGTCACTCACTGTCCTGACTTAGAAATATTCCCATTCCTTTAATATCACTGGATCAAAAGCCTTGGAACTTCCTCCCTGACAGTGCTGTTGGCGTATGTACACCCAAAGGAGTGGAGTGGTATATGGAGGCAGCTCATCAACACCTTCTCAATTAGGTATAATTGGGGACAAGAGAGGATTAAAAAAATGCACACTTTCACTTGTATTTGTTACTCTGTGTGCCCTGCCGGCTAAATCATTTGTCTTTTGATTCACAGGATCCCATTCCGGACAATAGTGGTGAGCTTGTTGTCCCACCAGGTGTTACTTCAAAATCTCTACGATGTCCTGCTCGAAGAGTTTGTCAAAGGCCCTACACCAAGCGAGGCTTCAGACCGGACTGTCAGCTTTGGAGAGACCAGGCCAGCCAGCTTCCTTAGGTACATCTCCATGCAGAACTTGGCCGTCATCTTTGATCTGCTGCTGGAGTCTTACCGAACGGCCAGGGAGTTTGATACGAGGCCTGGCCTGAAGTACCTACTGATGAAAGTCTCGGGAGTGGGAGGGGCTGCCAATCTCTACCGCCAGTCGGCAATGAGCTTCAACATTTATTTCCAGGCTTTGGTGTCTGCCATTATGACCAACCAGGAGAACATAACGGCCGAACAGGTCAAGAAGATCCTGTATGAGGAGGAGGAGCTGAGCTCGGATTCTTCCCAGCAGTGTTCCTCGGAAGATGAGGACATCTTTGAGGAGACAGCCCAGGTCAGCCCTCCCAGGGGAAAGGAGAAGAGGCAGTGGCGAGCGAGGGTGCCTTCTCTCAGCATCCAGCCAATCAGCAACGTGGACTGGGTCTGGTTAGTAAAGAGGTTGCACAAGGTGTGCCTGGAGCTCTGTAACAACTACATCCAGCTTCACCTTGACCTGGAGTGCTTGGCAGAGGAACCCCTGGCGCTGAGGGGTGACCCTCTCTTCTTCCTGCCCTCCTGCTATTCTGAGGGATCCACCCCATCCACTGGGGGCATGTCAGGCAAAGATACCCCTTCAGAAGAGGGCTCCAGGAGCCACGTAAAAGAGCTGGAAGATGGGAAGCCCAAAGGGCCCAGCAGTGCCCCCTTGAGCCCCAACGTGGAGAAGAAGGAGCAAGGCCGGAAGAAGGAGTGGTGGGAGAGTGCCGGTAACAAGATCTACACCATCGCCACCGACAAAACCATCAACAAACTCGTCTTCGAGTACAAGAAGCGCAAGCAGCAGCATAACCTGGCCACTTTAGTCAAGGAGGGGAAAGCAGAGAAGGGGGAGGTGGCACTGGGGAGATGCCCAGATTCCCCTCTCCAGAGGCCTCAGCAGCTGCTGGACCAGACCCAGATGCGGCATTCGCTGAGTGCAGGCCCCGAGCTGCTCAGATTGGAGAAACGATCTCGTTCTGGATCCACAGTCAGCTCCCACAGCGTCTCTGTGCGTGACACTGAGGCCCAGATGCAGGTACGTTTCTCTCTGAATGCCGAAAGCCACATTTCACACAATCCGCGAACAGTACGGTACAGGAGGAGGCCATTCAGCCCAGCCGGTCCACTCGGGCTATCTCAAAGCGCTTGTCCCACTCCTTCTGCTCTTTCTCCAGGTCACTTCACTTCTTTCTCCTTTGAGTCCTTATCCAGTTCTCTTTCGAAAGCTCCTATTGTAGTTTTAGTCGCCATATTGAAGAACGGATATATTTGTATTGGAGGCAGTACAATGAAAATTCACTAGATTGGTCCCTGAGATGAGGAGCTGAATAAACTGGGACCATACTCTCTGGAGGTTAAAAGAATGAAAGGTGATCTCATTGAAACATACATGACTAAGGCAGACTTATGCCATTCGGCCCATTGATCCTGCTACACCATTCAGTGAGATCTGATATCCTCAACTCCACTTCCCTGCCTTTTCCCCATAACCTTTGATTTCCTTCCCGATTAAAAAAAACTATCTCAAGCTTAAAAATGCTTGATGATCAGGCCTCTGTGTTAAAGAATTCCAGAGTTTTGCAAACCTCTGTGAGATGAAATCCCTCCACTTCTGAGTCTTTATTATTACAACCCCTCATTCTTAGACCATACCCTCTGGTCTTAGACTTTCCCACAAGGGAAGCAACCTTTCTGCATCTACCCCTGAGAATCGTATATGTTTCAATGACATGATTCTGATGAAGCTCGATAGAGGAGATGCTGAGAGATTGTACCAGCTGGTCAAGGCATCAATAACATAGGGGCACAATCTCAGGATAAAGGGCGGATCAGTTGAGATTGAGATGAGGAGGAATTACTTCAGTCAAAGGGTTGTTGACATTTGGAATTCTGTATCCCAGAGATTGTGAATGCTCTGTTTATATATAAAAATCAATGTAGAATGTGGAAACAGGCCATTTGGCCCATAGAGTTCACACCAAACCCTCTGAAAAGCATCCCTCCCAGACCCAGACCCCTCTCTATGCCCATAATCCCACATTTCCCGTGGCTAACCTACACATCCTTGGACACTATGGGGCAATTTAGCACGGCCGATCCACCCAACCTGCACATCTTTGGACTGTGGGAGGGAAAACAAAGCACCCAGAGGAAACCCACGCAGACACGGGGAGAATGTGCAAACTCCACGCAGACAGTCACCCGAGGGTGGAATCGAACTTGGGTAAGGGCGGGATAGACAGATTCTCCTTTCAGGGAATCAACAGCAATGAGCGAGAGTGGGAGGGTGGGTTGGTGGTGGATGGCAGGGGAGTGGAGTTGAAGACTAAAATCATGAGGTAGAATGACAGAGCAGGCTTAATGGGTCAAAGGGTCTACTCCTGCTCCTATTCCCTGTAATGCTCGCAGAGAGGTGAACAAAGCAACCCCTGATTATTGCATTCGACGCATAGATCCCAGCCTGGCGTCTGGTTGTTGCTGGATTGCCAACACAACAGTGGATCTGATGGATTGTTGTACAAAACCCAACAGGGCCCCTATCTGCCCTTCAGGACTGTCTCCTCCCAGGTTACATTCTTGAATCCTGACACCTCCTGAAGTGACGTAGCAATCCTTTCTTCTTTAAAAGCAATCACTCAGCAACCACCACCTTCTTGGGACTACCAGGGATGGACAATAAGGAAATCCTCCTGGAATTCTGCTGATCTTCCACCAGAGCCCCCTCTGCCCCACAACCCTTAAAAGATTATTTTACGTTGTACCAGTACCATCCAGGACAAAGCAGCACCCACTTGTTTGGCACTATCTCCACAAGTGCCCATTTCCTCCACCACTGACGCTCAGTGTCATGGAATCATACAGTACAGAAGAGGTCTTTTGGCCCATCGATACTGTGCTGCTAAATCTACACTAGTCCCACGTCCCAGAACTTGGTCCACAGCCTTGAATATTATGTCAGCAGCAGCGCTGTGTACCATCTACAAAGTGCACTGCAGAACATCAGGAGGACAAGGGCTTCAGAAACTTGGGAACACCACACCCTGCAAGGTTCCCCTCAAAGCCACTCACCATCCTAACTTGGAAATATATCACCAATCCTTCGCTGTCGCTGGGTCAAAATCCTGGAATTCCCTCCCTAATGGTTTAAAACTGCAGCTCACCACCCTCTCAAGCGCAACTAGGGAAGGGGCAATAAATGCTGACCCAGCCAGCAACGCCCATGTCCCATAAATTAATTTTTTATTTAACTTGGAGGGATACGGGCCAGGACCAGGCTGGGACCAGTTTAGTTTGAGCTTATGTTTGGCATGGACTGGTTACACTGAGCGGTCTATCTCCGTGCTGTATGACTCTATGACTCAAGCTGTTTGCCTCACACTCCTCCAATTCTGGCCTCCTGCACATCCCTGATTTTCATTGTTCCCCCATGGGTGGTTGTGCCTTCAATTGCCTGAGGCTTAAGCTCTGAAACATCCTCTCTCAGCTTCTATCTCTCTCTCTCTCTCACCCCTATTTAAACTCCTTTGATTCACTGGCCCCAAATTGTGGCTCGGTGTCAATATTTTGACGGTATTCCTGTGAAGAGCAGCCATGACCTAATGGAATGGCAGAGCTGGCCCGGAAGGGCTGAGGGCCTATTCCTGTTCCTGTGTCCTGAGGGAGCTCGGTGAGCGGTTAAAGGTGCTATACAAATGCAAGCCGTCGTTGTTGGCTGACTGACTAAAATGGCTTTTCTGCCCTAGGCCTGGACCAACATGATCCTAACAGTCCTCAACCAAATCCAGCAGTTGCCAGATCAGATGTTCACTGCCTTGCAGCCCTCCGTCTACCCGAGTATCAGCCAACTCACGTGCCACGTCACCGATGTCCGTGTTCGGCAAGCTGTTCGAGAATGGCTGGGAAGAGTCGGAAGAGTTTACAATATAATTATGTAAAAAAAAGAGAAAAAAGTATCTCGACAGTAAGAGAAAAAGAATCTATATTTATGAAGCACAAGGGTTAACTTGTGAGTAAATGACTTACTTTTCCAACCCCGACTGAGAAATATTTTTCTTACGTTACCCTCCAAGATCCAAAACCAACCATTGTTACTGGGATACGTCCGAGGCCATTAGCTTGCTCCCTGAACCCCAAGTTGTCACTTCGGGGGATGTGTCCTCTCCTGCTCCCCACCCTAAGGCAGCCCCTCGGGATTGAGGGAGCCTTGCGTTGGAGATGGAGGGATTTGAAGAATCAGAGCAGCGGTATGTACCATCTACAAAGTGCACAGTGGGCTGAATGGCCTGCCTCTGCTCCTGTGTTTTACGGTTTTTTATTGAAAGTGGAGGGCCATTGCAGTTCAGTGTGAGTGAGGTCAATAGTGAGGGAGCTCCAGGACAATTAGAGGTCAGGTTCTGCTGGTGAGAGACACGAATGACCGTAAGCAGATCCATATGTTCATTTATGGTCAGGGACAGACTGAAGCCAGACTCAAGGACTTTGGACACTGTGTTGGGATGTCCCTGTAGTTTTATCTGAGAGTAAGAGGGTGGCGTTCCTACTAAAAGAGGCAACCAGGCACTGACTGGGATGGACAGGTCAACAAGGGCACCCATTTTGATCCACCTTCATTCACCCACCTAAGCAAAAAAACAAACTTGCAGTCACTACTTGGGTGAAAGTTCCAATATTGAGAGGGTGGGTGGGATGGGCAGGTATTGGCTGGGGCCCCGTCTTACACCATTACTTTTCTGTTGAAGTCGACGTGTTTCCGTCCATTTTGAGTTTCGCCTGTATCCAGGCCGTTGCTTCTTTAACAAGGTTCCCTCTGCCATTCGGCTTAGAAAGAATACTCCAAGATTTAGTCACTCGTTCTGTGAAGCTTCTCTGTGAAATCTGTCTGAATGTTACCTCACTTCCGTGGGGGACAGTTTAGCTCAGTTGGATGGAAGGTTGGTTTTGTAGAGCGATGCCAACAAAGGTGGGTTCAATTCCCATCACCAAACCTCTCCCATTGCCTGAGCTATGGTGGCCCTCAGGTTAAATCACCACCAATCATCTCTCTAATAAGAAAGCAGCCTTATGGTCCAATAAGACTATGGTGACACACACGTGCACACTTCGCTCCTGATCTCCAGCTTGTGACCTGCCCTGACTTACCGCGAAATTAAACTTTTAATGTGCGTTTTTGATGCCAGTCTCTTAACAGGTGCTGCTTTTTTGGAAGTGTTTTTAGTAAATAGTGTGGTCTTAAGGTAGATGTTTCCACCGTGAAGATAACATTTGTCACTTGGATGTTATTAAGGCCCCCAGGCTGCAGTTTAATAGTTGCATTGGTAAACAAATTGCATTACATAGCGTCCAGGGACACTTTCTCCATCTTCAAGTGGCTGTATAAATTGAATTATCGCATCAGATTCCAAGCCTACTGTTCTGTTGGCTCCTTGACGTCGGACCTCATGTAGTTTGCTGTTTCTTGTCTCAGAACTTTGAACGTTTAATTTCTGAGACTTGAAATGAGCCTTTTACCCACAGGAACTCTGAATGCAGATTTTGGAAGAAATATTTCACCTACACCCACTCGATTCAAATGGGCAATCTTCCAGCACGTAAGGAGGCCATTCAGCCCAATGTGCCTTTGCTGGTTTGAATGAAGAGTTCTCCAAACTAACCCCATTATTTTTGATGTAATCAGTAATTGAGCTGAAGCCCTAAGTCCTAATGTATTGCCGGGACAGAGTTCTCACACAAGGACAGACAGGCTGAAAGTGCCACAGTGATGCCATGGATACTTATCCTGGTGTCTCCTCCTTGACTCAGTGTCAGAAATCACACAACACCAGGTTATCGTCCACCTGACGAAGGAGCTGCACTCCGAAAGCTTGTGATTTTAAATAAACCTGTTGGACTATAATCTGGTGTCGTGTGACCTCTGACTTTGTCCACCCCAGTCCGACACCGGCACCTGCCCCATCTTGACTCGGTGTGTCAGTCACTATCCTGTCAATCACCCTGGAACATTTCTACATGAACGATGCTATTGCGATGCCAGTTGTTGTTGTAGGGGTCAGCTGATCCACCCATCCTGTGGCTGATGCGACCGCGTCAGAATCCACTTTGACGTTGAACCGACAGTGTCCAGTCCCATGAGCTGTTTGTCCTGATTGGCCTTGGCAGAGATTTTCAACCAGACAGTGCTCAATACAGCTCCCACCCCCAAGCTGGATAACATTGAATAGAGGGACGGAAGAATGGAATCATTATTTGTTCAGAGTAGAATGTATAGAAGAAGGTGCATTACACAAAAACAAAGTGAAAGTGAAATTAGAGAAATGAGAAATGGGGATGGGGAACGAAGGAGACTAGCTGCATGGTCATCCCAGGAGTTCTTTTACCCTCACGTTTCAAATGGATGCCCTACCTCCCTCATGGCATCTCCATCTACCCCAGTTTTTGTCATTTTCATTGGCTATCCATACTGATCAAGAAGACCATGTGATCCCAATTCATCCACCACCAACACTCAGTAGCAGCAGTGTGTACTATCTACAAGATGCACTGCAGAAATTCACCTAAGATCCTCAGCCAGCGCCTTCCAAACCCACGGCCACTTCCACTCAGAAGGACGAGGGCAGCAGATACATGGGAACAACCACCCCCTGCCAAGTTCCCTTCCAAACCACTCACCATCCTGACGTAGAAACATATCGCCATTTCTTTATTATCCTGGAACTCCCTCCCTAACTGTGAGCAGATGCTGTGAATGTTTCTGCATCCCATGGACTACAGCAGTTCAGCTTGCTCCTCACCACTTTCTCCGGGGCAATTAGGGATGTATAGACAGACAAAAAGTGCTAAAAGTACTCAGCAGGTTAGAGCACTGCTGGATCTGAGCATTTCCAGCAAATGTTATTTAATATTCCAGTTTTCCGGAATTTGTAATGTATTGCCCACACTATGTGCCGTCCAAAGCCTCTTTTATTCTCCGAGGGCCCTCTTGCTAATGAGAGAGAATTCTCAAGGATCTCCAACCCTTCAGGGGGCTTGCCATTCCTTTCAAGTCTTTGATGTTTTTCTCGTTTACTTAATTAACGTGGAGCTAAAGTGGCTAAGTCGAAGAAATGATACAACGACCATTGCAACGGGCTAGCAGAACAGGCCTGAGAGGCTAAACATCACCCTCCTGCTCCTGTGCTGTCCCATCCCAAACATATTACCCATCCCACTCTCTACTCCTCTCCCATTGGAGATGGTGGCCAAACAATTTATTACCAGCTAATTTGTCGGTGTATATGCCTCTTCCTTAAGGAAGAGCCCCTTCCTTTGATTTAAGAACCGTAGAAAAGTTATGGCAAAGAAAAAGGCCATTCAGCCCACCACAAGTGCATGGGTATATCAAAGAACTAGTTGCCTGCTCTGAACCCACCTTCCTGGTGCGCAGCCTTGTAGATTATCGTGCTTCAGGAAGCAGATCCTGATTCCTTTTATTTGAGTTGGGGGTTTTCCCCTTTAACACCAAACTGAGCAGCCAGTTACAGATACCCATGTCCTCTGTGGGTGAAAAGTCTTTTCCTCACATGCCCTCTCATCCTTTGGGCATCAGCTTCCATCTGTGTCTGTCCCAGGAATAGACCTCTCCACTCGGGGATACAGATCTTTTCTGTATGTTCTGTACAGGCTCCCCTCCTCCCTCGTAATTTTTCACACCTCGATTTCTATTTTCTGTAACTCCTCATGCCTCTTGTCTCAGTGACTTGGCAGCGAGTGTGATAGAGGGGACCCAGGACAGCAATCAACATGTGGGTAAGCCAGTTGGTGCTCTGTGTCCTGCACTGGTGTTGTGATGCTGAGCGTGTGTTCTCTCACTGGCACCAGAACAGTATAAGGAGGATTGAACTGAAGCACGTTCTCCCCTCATACATTCCGATCTTGCCTCGCGACAGTCATTCCTCAGCTCAGGGGGCTCCCAGCACCACAGGCCTGTAGTGACTAGAATTTCAAACTCCTGGGATTATACAGTGCCTGCACGCTCTCTCCCTCCCTGTACACTCTCTCTGAGACTCATGCTGCCAGTCGCCAAGGCACCCATTCCTAATGGCAAGGTGGTTCACATCAGACTCGAAAGACTTATTTTCCGGTTGGCCGTTCCTGGGGCTGACCTGGAGTCAATCCGGCAGATCTATCTTCAGCAGCACAAGGGGATCAAGACCCCAAACACTCCAGAGCCTGCAGCATCTGACCCATTGCAGTGCTGGGAGGAGTGCTGCAGTAGTCCTAGGCACTGTCTTTCAGTTGAGGTATTAAACCGAGGCCCAGACAGGAGGATGTAAATGATTCCGGGGCTAGCTATTTCGAAGAAGCAAAGTCTTCCCCAGTCACCTGGCCAATATTTATCCCACAAGCAGCTTTTCTAACACACACACACACAAAAATGTTCTTGGCTTGCGGGATCTTGCTATGCCTAAATTGACTGGCACATTTCCTATCTTACAACAGCAGGACTTCATTGGCTGGGGAGCACTTTGTAAAGTCCTTAGGGAAGAAAAGGCAATACGTAAATGCAATCTTTCACCTTTGCCATGTTGTTTACCTGAGCTGACAGTAAGGGTGCTTGTCAAGTCTTATAGGCTGTCCTGCAGACACAACTGGAAGATGACAGATTAGAATCCAACATCGGGGAAGGAGAGGGTGTACAGGGAGGAGAGAGCATACTGGGAGGGAGATAGCGTACAGGGTGGGGAGAGCGCGTACAGGGAGGGAAGAGAGCGTACAGGGTGGGGAGAGAGCGTACAGGGAGGGAAGAGAGCGTACAGGGAGGGGAGAGAGCGTACAGGGAGGGGAGAGAGCATACAGGGTGAGGACAGCGTACAGGGTGGGGAGAGTGTACAGGGAGAGAGCGTACAGGGTGGGGAGGGGTGATTGCAACATTGCTCCTCACCTGAAATCCCAGTGAAGTGTCCGTTTGTGCATCTCACACCCACAGTATTTCATACTGGGTCAGATCTGAATCTTGCGTCGTGTAACTGTATATGACATTGTTAAATGTGCCCATTGCCATGTGCTGTTTGTAGTTGCTGCAAAATAACTCTCTTTTTATTCACCTTTTATTTATATTGTATTTGTGTTTTTAAGAAGTCAGATATTTAAGTTCACGTTTGGCTGGCCATTATCGCTTAATTTACGTCAAGGAAAATCACATTTGTGTACATTTTTGCGCTGTCAATATAAGGCTGCCGTTCGTTCAGAATGACACTTTAATAAGCAGTTGTTGATGATCTGTATTTATAATGCTTGTATTGTAGAATAAATATTGCCAGTGAACATCATAAACTGGATTTTGCTGCTTCTGTTTTGCTGTCAATTTGATCTGTGTATTAGCTGTGGCATAGAATGGATAGCAGTGGCATCTTTGGGATAGAAGATTGTACATTTGATCACCCTGTTGAGACTGTCATCATGTAACCTACACTTGCTTAGTGTTGTACCAGGCTAAGACTACTGTAAAGTACTGCTTGTTAACAACTGGAAGCTGGTTAACACAGATTAGTTGTGCAATCCCAGGAAGGAGTTAAGCAACAGCCTAAACCAAATCATATTTATTGCTGCCTTCCCAGGAGAGTGACTGCAGCAAAGATCGAGTGCTTATATGATGGGCAGACTGGCCTCCTTCAATGCTGCCTGTCTTCACTCTTTCCCATGAGCAGTTCACCCCTATTGTGACTGGGTTAGGTGAGTCGATTGCTTACCTAGTCCCAGTCCTCCATTTGTCGTAATAAGGTCTGAATTCAAAAAGCGAGGTGATGTTATTTATCTGGGTGTCAGACTGTATATAGCTCAGTGTCAGAAACAAAACAGTCAGGTTCCTGAAGTAACAATTGGCTAGAAACCAAAGTTACTCAAGTGAAGGTGTGGAAATTGTGAGGCAGCAGGGCAAACCATTGAGCTACCTTGCCACCCCAATCTGCAGGAGAATCAATTAAAACATACCTTCACCTTGGACTCCTTGGAAGAAACATTTTGCAAAACAAAGTTGTCAGTTTGCAGCGGAGAAAATGTTGCATTTGCAAAGAGCACAAGCTACTCAACTGGAGTCACTGGGTATAAAATACTCCAGAGAGAAGTCACAGTTTGTGTGTTGGATTTGAAAACAGGTTGTGAGAGAGAGAACTTGCTTGCAGCAACAGCCTTTGCCTTTCTTCATCATTCTCTGAAATCTCTCTCATGAAAGTGTGAGAGCTGGAAACCTACTGGAAGACATAATTACTACAACTAAGGGTTCCCAGAGGAGAATTCAGAATGGACACCACCGGAAATTCACTGGATTGGTCCTGAGATGAAGGGGTTGTCTGTCTCCAGAAGTGTGACATCAGTCAGCTATAACAGATCCAGAAAGACACCCCAGCACCAACATTTTGTGTAAAGTGACTTCGGTTACAGACCAACATTTAGAACACTTTATTTTCTGAATATAACTGGCACTTAGCCAAATTGCTTTTAAGATAATGCTCTTTGGAATTTTTATACTTTTTCCCAGACTTGGAGCTTGTGTGCTTGTTCATTTATTTTTTATTATTCATTCACGGGTGTGGGTGTTGGTGGCTAGACCAGCTTTTATTACCCATTCCTAATTGCCTGGGGGGTCGGGGTTAAGAGTGCTGTGGGTCTGGAGTTACAGGTAGGCCAGACCAGGTAAGGACAACAATTTTCTTTCCTAAAAGACGTTAGTGAACCAGGTGGGTTTTTCCTGACCATTGACAATTGTTTCACAGACATCGTTAGCCTCTTACTTCCAGAGTTTTATTGAATTTAAATTCCACCATCTGCCAGGGCAGGATTCAAACACCCCAAACATTGCCTGGCTCTCTAGTTAATAGTCTAGCGATAATACAACTAGGCCATAGCCCCCTGTTACTTTATCACAGGGAGCAGCTGATATATATTCACACAATTTAAATCTTTTGGTAATAACCTTCGCATGATTTGTAGGAGTTGTTTGCACTAAACTAGTTAAGTAATTGTTACTTAAAGAACTTGACTGGCTTGTTTCTGATGCTGAGCTAGCCTAGTCTGATATATACATAATTGGCATTATTACATTGCTTTTTAAATTCAGACTTTACTGTGACTGCTGGAGGCGTGGGACAAGGAAAAGAATTAGTCCATCCTTCCTACCTTGATCTTAATGTATTGGCAGCCAAACTGGAATTATTCTACCAGGAAATAGTAAGATATTAAGCTTACAATCTAGTGGCTTTCTGTGTAGCTCAGTAACACTGGGCAGACTAATGGACTGCAAAGGGATTGCAATCCCAGTTCACACCACCACCTGTAAATATGCTGACCATTATTGTACACTACTTGTGGGATTTTTCCATGCATTATTTGGCAGCTGTGTTTCCCCACGGAGTAACAGTAACCACACCTTCAATGGCTGTAAATTAGGAGATAGCAAGAACTGCCGATGCTGGTGCCAGAGACAGCACAGTGAGGAGCTGCAGGAACACAGCAGGCCAGGCAGCACCAGAGGAGCAGGAAAGCTGACGTTTCGGGTCAGGACCCGTCTTCAGAAATGGGGAGGGGTAAGGGAGCTGGGAAATAGAGGGAAGAGGAGTGGAGCTGAGGGAGGGTAGGTGAGATGGTGATAGGTGGATGCAGGTAAGGGGTAGTGGGGATTGGTCAGTGGGAAGAGTGGGGCGGTTGGGTGCTGGTGGGGGGAGGTGGACAGGTTCTATCAGGTCAAGGAGGCAGGGATGAGGGAGGGTTGGACATGGGATGAGGCCAGGGGTGGGGAGATTTTAAAACTGGTGAATTCTATGTTGAGGCCATCGGGCTGTAGGCTCCCAAGGTGGAATATGAGGTGCATCTGTGGGATGCTGTGATGCTGAGAGGAGCTATTGAAAAGCAATTTCTCTTCATTTATCACCAGATGGGAGTTCAGGCAAATGAATTGCATTATGTAATATCAGTAATTTCCTGTCTGATATTTTACCTTTTTCCACTGCTGTATACTGGATGAGTTATTAATATCAGAGGGAGTGATTTTAACACCGAAACTACATTGCTAGACTGAAAACTGCAAGATCTTTTAGGATACTGTGTGCAATTCTGGTCTGCCTGCTATAGGATGGATGTTGTGAAACTTGAAAGGGTTCGGAAAAGATTTACAAAGATTGGAGGGTTGAGTTATAGGGAGAGGCTGAATAAGCTGGGGCTATTTTCCCTGGAGTGTCGGAGGCTGAGGGGTGACCTTATAGAGGTTTATAAAATCATGAGGATCATGGATAGGGTGAATACACAAGGTCTTTTCCCCAGGATGGGAGCGTCAAAAACTAGAGGTTTAAGCTGAGAGGGCAAAGATTTAAAAGGGACCTGAGGGACAACATTTTCACGCAGAGGGTGGTGTGTGTATGGAATGAGCTGCCAGAGGAAGTGGTGGAGGCTGGTACAATCACAACATTAAAAAGGCATCTGGAGGGGTACATGAATAGGAAGGGATATGGGCCAAATGTGGGCAAACAAAACTATATATTTAGGATATCTGGTCGGCATGGACAAGTTGGACTGAAGGGTCTGTTTTCATGCTGTACAGCTCTATGACTGCATGATCAACTTATGGTATTGCAGATTTACTTAATGCAAAGGAATGCAGCTGGAGCTAACCCCACAAAGTTTATTAATTATTCAAATGCTTTAAATTAGACAGAGGCCAGAAGCTGAAATATTTATTCCTCATTCAAAGTAGTGGAACCAGAATAATAAGCAAGCCGATTTTAACTGCTCTGTCGGTTTTATTCCACCCGTGCTCCAATACTGTACCCCATGCCCATTCTCTGCATGTAGGCTCAGACAGTGCCTGTTGGTAAGCTTTTTAACTGTTCATTGCATCACCAAAGAAGTCGGACCTTCCTTGTAGTAAAGCAAAATACTGCGCATGCTGAAGATATGAAATAAATAGAGAATGCTGGAGAATCTCAATAGGTCTGGCAATGTCTGTGGTGAAAGAAACAGATATAATGTTTCAAATGGGCAGAACTTGTATAATTGATGGATAGGTCCCTGGGGAGTGTTGCTGAATAAAGAGACCTTGGAGTGCAGGTTCAGAGTTCCTTGAAAGTGGAGTCACAGGTAGACAGGATAGTGAAAAAGGCGCTTAGTATGCTTGCCTTCATTGGTCAGTGCATTGAGTATAGGAGTTGGGAGGTCATGTTGTGGCTGTACAGGACATTAGTTAGGCCACTTTTGGAATACTGCGTTCAGTTCTGGTCTCCCTGCTATAGGAAGGATGTTGTGAAACTTGAAAGATTTACAAGGATGTTGTCAGGGTTGGAGGGTTTGAGCTATAGGGAGACACTGAATAAGCTGGGGCTGTTTTCCCTGGAGCGTCGGAGGCTGAGGGGTAACCTTATAGAGGTTTATAAAATCATGAGGGGCATACATAGGGTGAATAGGCAAGGTCTTTTCCCTGGAGTATGGGAGTCCAAAATTAGAGGGCATAGCTTTAAGGTGAGAGGGGAAAGATTTAAAAGGGACCTAAGGGGCAACTTTTTCATGCAGAGAGTGGTGCGTGTGTGGAATGAGCTGCCAGAGGAAGTGGTGGAGACTGGTACACTTACAACATTTAAAAGGCATCTGGATGGGTATATGAATAAGAAAGGTTTAGAAGGATATGGGCCATTTGCTGGCAAACTGGACCAGATTAATTTAGGATACACGGTCGGCATGGATGAGTTGGACGAAGGGTCTGTTTTTATGCTGTACATCTCTATGACTGAGTCCAGTATGACTGCTCTCTGGAATGCAGGGGCAAAAAAGGACTGTGAAGAAGAATCATTGGACTCAAAACGTAAACTCTGCCACGTGTCTGTACTTTTGGATAGATGTAAGGGTGAGCTAATTTTCCTCTTCCTTTGGTCCAGGGGCATCAGGCCAGAGTCAGGTATGTTCGCACAGAGCTGGGATTGAGTGGAACTGCCCTGCTCTCTTTGACACTGCTCCCCATTTTATAAAGTCACTGAAAGAAACAGGGAGCTGTAAATTGTTCTGCCTCACAGCTAAGTGTGCTGCGCCTGTGGGACTCTCTACCATAGAAAGTGGTTGAAGCCAAAACATTGAATGTTTTCGAGGATGAATTAGATATAATTTTTGGGGCTAAGGTATCAAAAGATACGTAAAAGTGGGAACAGGGGACTGAGTCGGATGATCAGCCATGATCATAGTTAATGGTGGAGTAGACTCGAAGGGCTGAATGGCCTATTCCTGGTAGAGCCCATAAAATGGTTAGAAAAGATGCAAAATCTTAACTTGTGTTTTATTTTAAAAAAATGAGAGGCAGTGGCACAGTGGTAATGCCATTGAGCTCTTAAATCTGATGACCACAGGTTCAAATCTCACTGTGGGAGCCGTTGGAATCTGGAACTGAAAGCTAGTTTCACCATGAAACTGTGATTGACTGACTAATTTGTAGGTCTGCAATTGCATTCTTGCTTCACTTAGGCAGGAAATCTGGTATCCTTGCCCAGTCTGGCCTACCCATGAACTCCAGACTCTGAGCAATGTGTCTGAAATAGCAGAGTAAGCCATGTTGAGGGTTGGGCAAAAATTGCTGGCCTTGCCAGTGATGCTCACACCCCTTGAAATAATAATGGAGAACAATCCAGTTGTATTTAGAGAGTTATCAAGATTTTTAATTGGCATTTTATCATTGATGACACAATCAATCATAGATTCTTAATCAGGAAGGGAATCAAGGGTGATGGGGAAAAGACAGGAAAGTAGATGTGAGGGATGTTGAATCAGCCATGATCCCTATTGAATGGTGGAGCAGGATTAAGGGGCTGAACAGCCGACTACTGTTCCTATTTCTTGTTGGTTTATGGTTACGGACACCGATGAGACTGAATCCTTCGGCCCATCTCACGATGGCGGTGGAGTTGGACTTTTGAGCCTGGGGCTTGTCTGCTTTTCTTTTCATTTTTATTATCCCTTTTGTTTTTGTTCTCTGCTATTTTGCTTTACTTCCCTCTTAGTGAAAAGGTCAGTCACAGCAACAGCATCGGCAGCAGTGAGCGGGCCCAGGCGGCGCAGATTCGAGTGGGCCCAGCGGCAGGGACTCGAGTGGGCCTAGCAGCAGGGACTTGGGGCAGCGGAAGGTGACTTTGGGTTCACAGCGGCTTCTGCATCAACAAGGTTGTCCTAGTGCTGACTCACGGCTGCTGTGGTGGAGGTGAATTTGGGGCCAGTATGAGACCTGGCAGCATCAGTGGCGCCTGCATTGGCAAGGTGCAGTGAGGACTCACAGAGACAAGGGCATTGGCGGAGGTGAGATGGTGCAGAAGAATCCGAGAACCCATGCAGATGGCCTCAAGGCCCTCCGCTTCTTCCTGTCCCGCAGGCCCGACCAGTCCCCCTCCACTGATACCCTCATCCGCTTAGCCGAACTCGTCCTCACACTCAACAACTTCTCTTTCAATTCCTCCCACTTCCTACAGACAAAGGGGGTGGCCATGGGTACCCGCATGGGCCCAAGCTACGCCTGCCTCTTTGTAGGTTACGTGGAACAATCCCTCTTCCGTACCTACACCGGCCCTAAACCCCACCTCTTCCTCCGTTACATTGATGACTGTATCGGCGCTGCCTCGTGCTCCCACGAGGAGCTCGAACAGTTCATACACTTCACTAACACCTTCCACCCCAACCTTAAGTTTACCTGGACCATCTCTAACACCTCTCTCCCCTTCCTGGACCTCTCTGTCTCCATATCGGGCAACCACCTAGAAACCGATATTCATTTCAAGCCCACCGACTCCCACAGCTACCTAGAATACTCCTCCTCCCACCCACCCTCCTGCAAAAATGCTATCCCCTATTCCCAATTCCTTCGCCTCCGCCGCATCTGCTCCCAGGATGAGGCATTCCACTCCCGTACATCTCAGTTGTCCTCGTTTTTCAAGGACCGTAACTTCCCCTCCTCGGTGGTCGAGAACGCCCTCAACCGTGTCTCCCACATCTCCCGCACCTCATCCCTCACACCCCGTCCACGCAATAAAAACCAAAAAAGAATCCCCCTCGTCCTCATGTACCACCCCACCAACCTCTGGATCCAACGCATCATCCTCCGACCCCACCACCAAAGACATCTTTCCCTCCCCACCCTTATCTGCTTTCCGGAGGGACAACTCTCTCCGTGACTCCCTTGTCCGCTCCACACTCCCCTCCAGCTCCACCACACCCGGCACTTTTCCCTGCAACCGCAGGAAGTGCTACACCTGCCCCCATACCTCCTCCCTCACCCCCATCCCAGGCCCCAAGAAGACTTTCCACATCAAGCAGATGTTCACCTGCACATCTGCCAATGTGGTATACTGCATCCGCTGTACCCGGTGTGGCTTCCTCTACATCGGGGAAACCAAGCGGAGACTCGGGGACCGCTTTGCAGAACACTTACGCTCGGTTCGCAACAAACAACTGCACCTCCCAGTCGCGAACCATTTCAACTCCCCCTCCCATTCCTCAGACGACATGTCCATCCTGGGCCTCCTGCAGTGCCACAACGATGCCACCCGAAGGTTGCAGGAACAGCAACTCATATTCCGCTTGGGAACCCTGCAGCCCAATGGTATCAATGTGGATTTCACAAGTTTCAAAATCTCCCCTCCCCCCACCGCATCCCAAAACCAGTCCAACTCGTCCCTTCCTCCCACCTATCCCCTCCTCCCACCTCAAGCCGCACCTCCATCTCCTACCGACCAACCTCATCCCGCCCCCTTGACCTGTCCGTCCTCCCTGGACTGACCTATCCCCTTCCTAACTCCCTACCTACACTCACCTGTCCTGGCTCCATCCCCGCCTCTTCGACCTGTTTGTTTCCTCTCCACCTATCCTCTCCTCTATCCCTCTTCTATCCGCCTCCCACTCTCTCCCTATTTATTTCAAAACCCTCTTCCCCTCCCCCTTTTCTGATGAAGGGTCTAGGCCCGAAACGTCAGCCTCTCTGCTCCTATGATGCTGCTTGGCCTGCTGTGTTCATCCAGCCCTGCACCTTGTTGTCTCGGATTCTCCAGCATCTGCAGTTCCTACTATCTCTGGTGCAGAAGAATGTTGACTTTCATTCCAGCAGCAGCGTGGTGAAGGTGACTCATGCCTGGCCACCAGGCCCGTGGTTCATGATGAAGCACTTAACAAGGACTGTAAAAAAAAACTGGTGCTGTGAGACAGCAGTGCTAACCACTGAGCCACCATCCCTTTATTGGCTGTTGCAATTTCTACACTTCGAAATTGCTTCAAAAGGCTGTAGAGCACATTGAGACATCTTGAAACTGTGAAAGTTGCAATAAAAATAAAAGTCTGTCCTTTTTTTTAGCGCAACGAACAGCACTTACCATGTAAAGAATACCATTGAATTTTGGGATGTACTAAAATGGTATTAAAACGTTTTGAGGAAGAATCCCACGTAATCTCTTAGTACACAAGAACACTTGCGAGTTTTGAAGATGAGCTGAAAATCTTGCTTTATTTGAAGTGTGAAAACACAGCAATCACTACCTTCCTTCCAGCTACAAACAAAAGGCGTTCTGTAAAAGTCCCAGTGTTTCTAGTAGATCCCCACTAGAACAGAAAGGAGCCTGTGCCCCTCCCTGCAGCCCCAGTGAAAGCAGACACATTAGCGAGCGGAAGGAGACGAGAAAGTTTCACACACTGCTCTCTGTACTAAAATAAATAATCTACAAACATCCCACGTAAAAACAAGAAAGACTAAAATGTACACATTTCCAAAACTTGTGTTTACAAAGAGAATCCCCCCAACCCCGCAAAAAAAGAGGGCATTTTACAATCTCTGTACATGTACAAACAGTATCGAAAGATCACAATGCAAGTAACAAACATCTCTTCCCTTTGATAAGTCCCAACTGGTGCTGCCACCAAACATGAGTGAATGTACGTTGTCTTAGTTTAAAATGTAAGGCTTTATTTGTGCAGCAGGATGTGAAAACAAGACAAAATGGTTTATTTTTTAAGAAAAGGTCTCTGAAGTTTCCTCAAAAAAATACTGTAGGGAAGCTTTTTATTGTCAGTAAGGTTCCATCTCTTTGGTAACAAAATGAGCAAGTGTTACAGGATTTAGAATATTCAAGTCACATGTATACATCTGTAATATTGTTGTGATCAGCAATTAACTGTCTCCCACTCTCTTCCATATCTCCCTCACATTTTCTCCTTCTCATTGATGCACATGTGATTATTCCAGCTTCACTGATCTCTCTTCTCCATTGTACTTAAGCTGTTCGACTTGAGAAGCATCACAACTCCATCCTGCAGCAACTCCCTCCCGTCCCTCCAGTTATACGATACACTGTGTTAAAGGTGAGGAAGTTTGCCTTCTTTGTTCCACTTACACATGCTGAGGTGACCACCCAAACCAACCGTAGCGCACCCCCATCTAATAGCCCCCACCCCTGTTTGATATAACTCCCGCTAAATTATCCAGGATTTTAGCTCCAATGAGCGAGGGGTGGGCAGAGTCTATGCCAGCCCTTGCTTTTACTGTATTTTAACTGTACATCTGTGACAGACTCACACCTGGTGACAACAGTTGGCAGATTCAATTTACCCAACTTCCATATGTTGATGTAGAGTCTATGGGTGGCATGGTGGCACAGTGGTTAGCACTGCTGCCTCACAGTGCCAGGAACCTGGGTTTGATTCCACCCTCGGACGACTGTCTGTGTGGAGTTTGCACGTTCTCCCCATGCCTGCATGGGTTTCCTCCAGGCGCTCCGGTTTCCTCCCACAGTCCAAACATGGGCAGGCTAGGTGGATTGGCCATGCTAAATTGCCCACAGCGTCCAGCTATGTGTAGGTTCGGTGTGTTAGCCGTGGGAAATGCAAGGTTACAGGGAAAGGGTGGGGGGAATGGGTCTAGGTGGGATGCTCTTTGGAGGGTCGGTGTGGATTTATTGGGCCAAGTGGCCTGTTTCTATTCTTCTGTTCCAGTTAGAGATTCAACCAGCCACAATACAGATGAGTGAACACCCAGCATTGGCATTGACCCCTGCCCTGCAACAGCTGGAGGTAACAGACTGGGTCCCCCTATGGGGGTCTTTGACTGACTTTGGCTAGCACCTTTGGGGGCTCCGTGACCAGTCTGCTAAAGTCAGGACTGGGCTACGATTGGGTTAGTATCGAGGCAAAAGGGCGAACGGCTTTCTTCAGTCAGTCATGAAGCTTGCTGGTCTATTTTACTAAACCAGTCGCAACAGGATTTGAGGGTGGGGGGTAGGTGCAAAAGAGAGGACTGGCATGGATTCAGGAACGTGTGGAAAGCAGCCAAGATTTCAATTTCCTTGATAACAAGGTGTAGAGCTGGATGAACACAGCAGGCCAAGCAGCATCAGAGGAGCAGGAAGGCTGACGTTTCGGGCCTAGACCCTTCTTCAGAAATTTCCTTCCTCGTTTCTGAGATGCCCCCCCTCCTCCACCCTCGCAGCAAGTGGCCAACTCATCTCTCCTTGGTAACACTGGGGCAAACTGCTTGGCACAGCATAGACTCTCTGCCCAAGAGGGAGCCCTGTGGCATCCCCTCATGCTTCCCAGCCAAAATCCCATCACAAGTGGCAACAGCAGCTGAGATTCTTCTCAACCCACCGCTCCTCAGGACCCAGTCCCTGCCTCACCACCTCATCCCTCTTGAGAACTCAAACCAGCCCCGAATGTTTCAGGCTCAGCTAACAGAACACTGACCCTTCCCAGTGTGAACGCCTCTGAGCCCTGTCGAGTGACACACACCTACTCATTAACAGTACAATACTTCACTTACTGAGCTTAGATATCACCCACAGAAATGACCTGCCCTCCTATTCTGCTGCTCCAATGTATTTGAACCCGATAATTCGCCATGTAAGGACCACACAGACCCTCCAGTCCTAACCCTCCATTTTCCAATATTTAGTATCTCCTCCTTTCCCTCAGGGCGGAGGTTAGTGACCAGTAGAACGCTCCAAATCTCATTCACGTTGTCCCATGTCAGAGCTTGAGATGTTGGGCTGCTTTTGATTGCCTTAGTCAGGACCTCCCTCCCATCACCCACCTGGGCAGTAACCATGCAACTCTCTCGCCCTCAGCTCCACTCAGATAAACCAATGAGAGGGACACAAACTTCTGCCAGAAAAGAAATCTTTCAAAAATCCCTTGGCCTCATTGTCCTCTCCCTCATTCTTTCCTTTATTGTTCTCTGTCTCTCTTTCCATTTCGTTCTGTCTTTCCCATCGATCAAGTCCCAATACCAAAGCCATCTTCCTCCCAACTTCACCTGACAGCCTATCTCCCACTTCTGCCCACCTAACTCGTAAAAGGCCTCTTGCTGTGTAGCAACTTTTGCCGCCAGTGACCCTTCCCCCACGAATCCAAAGGAGCGCTTTGCCCCTTGCTTTACAACACCTCGGAAAAGTGCTTCAAAGCGCCGCGGGCTGCCCGAGGTTGTGAAAGGTGCTATTTAAATGCAGATCTCTCTCTCTCTCTCTATTTTGGCGCACGGGTGAGTCTCCCACGTTTGGAAAGCTCAGCCTGATGGACCAGGCAAGACCAGAGCCTTCAGCATTTAGGTTTCTCCTCAACAGCCTGGGGCTCTTTGCACTTGACGTGACGTTAAAACGAAAATTAAAACACAGGGGAATAAAATCAGTCTCTCTCTGTTATTGCTTGGTCTCTCATGAGTCCCAGTCCTGGTTTGCGCCTTCTTCTGCCAAAGCAGACTGGACAGGGCGAATGTCCGCTGGCCCACGTTTTAGCGAGTCCAGAAGGTTCCACGAGGTGGGACCCGAGTCCACGGGGCTGCAGACGTGATCAGCCCTGGACCCCTGGGTCTCTGCCAGGCCGTTAGAGCCGACGAGGTCTCCCTCGCTGTGCCTCCGGCCCTCGTCGCTGGCGCGATGACCCTCGGTGACCTCCGGGCTCTCGACCTCCCCTTCGCGGATGACGGTCATTGGGCTGCTGTGGAGTCGGTGCAAGTGGAGGTGTCGCGCGCCGTACCGGCTGCTCGGGGCTGAGGGTGGTGTCCGTGAGCGCCCGTGGCGGACCCCCACCTGCCCTGCTCCCCTGGGCACTGGCCCCTCGTGCGAGGCCCACTCCTCGCGAGGGTTCCTGGCCCGGTGGCCCGGCGAGCGGCACTCGGCCGGGCCCCAGCCGTTCGTCCGGGCCGTGTCCGCTGGCGGTGACTCGGGAGGCCGGTGCCTGGGGTCGGTGCTCCTCAGCATCTCGGCTGCTGACATGCGGGATCCGGCCTCGACCCTGCTCCCCTTCTTCAGGAGCAGGGCCTTGAAGCTGTCGCTGCTGGTGCTGGACTTGCGCAGGTTCCTCTGAATGGAGCCAACCTGCTTGATGCTGCCGGGGCTGGACGGCATTCCCGTGGGGGTGACGGGGGGTGAATGTGGCACAGTCTTACTGAGCTCGTCCTCAGAATCCTTCCTGCCCAGGACTCTCCGCTTGGACCTAAAGATGGCAAAGACCAATCTTTAATAGTTTCGCTTTCATAGTTACTGAAGATGAAAGGAGGGAGTCATAGAGTTGTACAGCACAGAAACAAACCCTTCAGCCCAACCCATCCATTCTGACCATAATCGCAAACTATACCAGTCCCATTTGCCTGCACTTGGCCTCTAAACCTTTAAAGGAGCAAATTTACTGCAGATGCTGGAATCTGGACTGAAAACAACAAATGCTGGAGATCACAGCAGGTCAGTCAGCATCCATAGAGAGAGAGCAAGGTAACGTTTCAGGTCTGGATGACTCTTCAGCAAAGCTCTGATGAAGAGTCATCTAGACTCGAAACATTAACTTGCTCTCTCTCCATGGATGCTGACTGACTCGCTGTGATCTCCAGCACCGGTTGTTTTCAGTCCCTCTAAACTTTTCCGATTCAGGTCCCTGTCTAAATGTCTTTTAAACGTTCTAATTGTACCAGCCCCTTCACCACTTCCTCTGGCAGTTCATTCCATACACACACCACCCTCTGCGTGAAAAAGTTTTGATTTGATTTGATTTATTATTGTCACGCGGACTGAGGTACAGTGAAAAGTATTGTTTTGCGTGCTAACCAGACAAATCATCCCTTATACAAGTTTGTAAATGTAATAGAACAGAATGCAGAATATAGTGTTACAGCTACAGAGAAGGTGCAGAGAAAGATCAGCTCTAATATATGAGGTCCATTCATAAGTCTGATAACAGCGGGGAAGGAGCTGTTCTTAAATCTGTTGCTCCTCAGGTCCCTTACAAATCTTTCCCCTCTCACCTTAAACCTATGCCCCATAGGAAAAAAATATCATGTAACGAGAGATAGAGTAGACACAGAGTCAGTGGAGATATTGAAGGAGAGAGAGGTAGATATGCAGGTATGTATTTAACCACTTTGCAGCACAGAACTCGAATATTGCTAAAAGGAAAAGACACGCTGTGAAAGCTTCTTGTCTTGCTTTCATCAGGGCAGCACAGCAAGAATACCAAATCACAAAGGGAACAATAACTTGTATGAGCCAAGAGGGTGCTGAATTGTAACATTGCCAGCAATCAGGGTCCACTTAAGCAGTACAAATTGTTGTTCCTTTTGACGTTTGGTATTCTTGCCATGCTGTCCTGATGACTGCAGGACAAAAAAAACTTCGACAGAATGTCATTTTCTTTCCTTGCAATACTCAGGTATGTAATTATACATATGTATGTATAAATGATCAACTTGTGAAGATATTAGTGTTTATATTAAGTACTTATCTGAGGAAAAAATTATAGGGCTGGGGGGAGGGCGAGCAGGGAAGTGGGACTATTAAAATCTGTGGTTTATTATTTTATGAATCAAACTAAACAAAGGATTGTTCTTTTATAGACTTAATTAGAATTTACATCATAGAAACAGCCCATTTCTCCATGCTGGTGTATGTGTTCCATATAGGCCACCTCCCACCCTGCTTCATCTCACCATTTCACCATAATCTACTATTCATTTCTCCTCTCATGTCTTTCTATAGATTCCCCTTAATGTATCCAAAGTTTTGACCACATGTTTGGCCACATCATTAACTGCATTAACTTCCTATTAGAGAGTTTATCCAGGGTTTCTGCTACACTTAAGGTGAGAGATCAGGAAGATTCCTTTGTACTCAAGCTCCCAAGCTGATCAGAAAGGCTACAGTCAGCAACAGGATTCTCACAGCAGTATCCAGTCTATGGGCTGCCCCTTTCTCTACCTCAAAGTTGAAACAACCTGCACATTGCAGCCAATAATTACCCAACAGCCCACGCTCCACTTAACCCAATGGCACTCACAACATAAGACCAGGAAAGACGGTCAATGAGACATCAGCAAGTAACAAAAAATGAGATTCCCCGATATATCTGGTCACTGAAGATCTCAGACGCCTGTCCTACCTGTGGATCACTGCAAACAAGTCCTCGGTTGTCCTGGGCCTGCTTGGAATACTTGGGTCTTCATTACTCCATTGGTAACTGTTTGTAAAGTTTGGGGAGCTGGGCTCAAACACATCACCTGCAAAAGTACAGTTGTATATTGCAGTGATTGAAAGGGGCAGGAAGGATCACTAAAAAGCTGTCAGCATCAATACAGATCTACTTATCAAAACTTTTTAACAGGCTATTCCACCCACTCAAAACTCCCTAACACTGTCTTAGACCCACACACAACTCTCTAACACTCTCTTAAACCCATGCAAAACTCTCTAACACACTCCCAAACCCGCTCAAAACTCTATAACACTCTCTTAGACCCATGCAAGACTCTCTAACACTCTCTTAAACCCATGCAAAACTCTATAACACACTCTTAGACCCACACAAAACTCTATAACACTTGCTTAGAATCATGCAAAACTCTATAACACACTCTCAGACCCGCTTAATACTCTATAACATTCTTAGACCCACTCAAAACTCTTTAACACACTCTCAGGCCCACACAAAACTCTACAACCCACTCTCAGGCCCACTTAAAACTCTATAGCACACTCTCAGACCCACACAAAACTCATTTACACTCTCTTAGACCTGCTCAAAACTCTCCGACACTCTCTTAGACCCATGCAAGACTCTCTAACACACTCTCAGACCCGCTCAAAACTCTGTAATCCTCTCTTAGACCTGCTCAAAACTCTATAATCCTATGTTATACCTGTTCAAATCTCTATAACGCTCTGCCATAATCAACTACACCCTGTCACTCACGCATGACCCCCTATCATCCAACATTGTTGACCCACTTTATAGCCCTCAAATGATGTTTTTATCTAAGCAATGCAAATGTTCCCACAGGGGTCATGCATATGGTCACTGACATATGTCAAGAAAGTTAAAGGAGTTGTGTGGACAAACAAAATTTAGAAGCACACGCACCCCATATCCTATAACACACAAACGTCCAGCTTACTCTCTAAACATCAACATTTCCCCTTGCGTTGCCTGATCTTTATCACAGCGCACTGTTCCGAAATCTTCCAACAAACCTGCGACTTTGTTCCAACCCCGGGGAGGGGAGGGTGAGCTACAAGGAGTGGGACAGGGATGGGTGTCAGGAAGTAACTGAATGGACTGGAGGGTGATGAAAGGAGGGAAGGGGGAAGACGGAATGGGAATCGGGAGAGGAAGGGACAAGACGAAGAAGGGAAAAGGTAGAACGAGGTACAAAATTAGAGAGTGAACGATAAATACGTGTTTGTTCAAAATCTTACCCATGTCCTTATCCTGGCAGCTGATTATGCTGCTGTTTTCCACACCATCCCAACTGTTTGGGCTGTCGATTACTGTTTCATCTCCTATGCTGGGACTGTTCTGGCTTTCATCCAGTACCTTCTGCACTTCGGCTTCCCAGGCCTCACTCTGCACTGTGTCCTGGGCTCTATCGGCCGGATGAAGGGGCTGGTCAGATTCCAGAGACATCTCGCTCTGTGCTGGCGCCCGTTCTCCATCGCCCACAGCAGACGGTGCTGCTGTGTTGGTCACGTCCTCTGCTGCTGGCTCTGGGGTAGCCGGAGGCCATTTCCCCTCAGGGGAGCTGTTCCACAGAGACGGTGGGACGACCAGTGTCAACTTGGGCTTCCTGGCGATAGGAGGGGGCGTTTTGCTGGGCGATTTGGCATTAGGGCTTTCAGTTGGCACAGCACTCTCTTGATCAGGCCCTGCGTTGACCCTGGTGCCGGAGTCTTTGCCCTGGACAGCGGGAGCAGAGCAGGCTAGCTCTGCCATGGGCTTGAGATGGTTTCCAGGCCAGGCCTCAGGCCTGTCGGAGGGAGCTGACATTTTAGGTCGCTCCACGGGGCTGTCCTTGCTTTCAGGGCCGAGGGCTAGGCTGCTGTTGGGGGCCACATGGGCCTCAGGGTGGGCCTTGGAAAATCGGCCAAGGGAGGAAGGACGCTGCAGCATGGCAGGTTTCCAGGGTGGAGGGGACACTGGCCGTTCGGGCTGTGGTTTCAGTCGGGGGCTCTGCCCCTCCACCTGGCCCAGAAGGTCTCCCTGCTCACTCTTCCTCACTGACCTCAGCTGCACCTTCTGTAGAGCACTGGCTGTAATGAGGGGAAGGCCCAGGGCTGGCTTGTGCGTCTCAGGTTGGTCCCCTGAGGCCTTGGGCTCTTTCCCACACGGTGGGGCCTTCACACAGGCTGGCACCTTCGGATCCAGAGGGCCAGTAGGAAAGGCCACCATAGCCAGGGACAGGGGAGGTGGGGGCGCGGGAGGGATTATGGTGGGCAAGTGGGGTGCAGGAGGCAGCTGGTTGGTCAGAGGGGGTGGAGGAGGGGGTAGGTTGGTCAGAGGTGGTGGAGGAGGGGGCATATTAGTCAGAGGAGGTGGAGGAGGGGGCAGGTTGGTCAGAGGGGGGGGAGGAGGGGGCAGGGTGGTCAGAGGGGGTGGTGGAGGAGTCATAAGGGGAGAATGAGGGAATAAAGTGGATAATGGAGGTGCTGGAGGAGGGGGAGAGGATACAGTGGAAAGTAGGGGTGCTGGAGGAGGGGGAGGGTGAAGGTCAGGGCCCATGGGTGATACCGCAGGAGTGTTTGAGGGAGCAGCGCACCCTGCTGTCCCGTGAAACCGGGAATCTGAGGCATTTGAGGAGAGGGAGGCTGACGATGATGAGGCTGACGTGGAGGAGAGCAGCGAGGATTTTCGCTCAGGGACCTTTGGCTTTGACTTTGGCTTGGCAGCCCCTGGCAACGTGCGGTGGGGGAAGGCCGGGGCCGGGTTCAGTGTGGTGGGTGTGTTGCACTGGCTGGAGTAGCCGCTCGAAGGTGAGGTGATACCGTGGCCCGGGCCTTTGGGCTCCGCCGAGGCTCCGGGCCCGGGTGGCGCACAGTCCCAGGCTCCGGGCTGCTGCCCCTCGGGGTAATAGGCCCAGGGGTCGCTGTACTCGGAGCGCAGGCTGCTGGTCTCGCTCTGCGACGGGGTGGCTGCGCTGGTGGTGTAGGCGTTACTGGTGGCCGTGGAGCGGCCGCTGCTGTTGGTGCTGCCATCGCCCCCGGAGCTGCTCTGGGTGCGGTGAGCCGTGGCCCAGGGCTCTCGGCCTTCTCCGGGAGGCTCCACGCCTCCCTCCTGAGCTCGGAGGTTGTCCTCCAGGGAGCGCTGCAGGCTGGCGATCAGAGACTCACTCAGCATGGGCTGCCCACCCTTGGGCCTCCTGCGCAGGGAGTCGGTGCGCGCTGGGGGCAGAGGGGGCTTCTTGGTCTTTCTCAGGGAGATGCTGCGGCCCAGGGAGCGGTCGCTGTACTCGGGGGGTCCGCCTGGGCGCTGCTGACCCCTGACCTCCGAGGGCGAGGGCGGGCGGTTCCAGAGAGCGGCGGTCGCGGCGGCAGGAGACCTCGGGGAGGGTGGGGGCGCGGTCCCCCGGTGTCTCCCGTCGCCACTGGCCCCCGGCTGCCCCTGGTGGAGGGGCTCGGCCCCAGGGCCCGGCGGCGCCAGGGAGACGGCTGAGTCGTAGCGGGAAGGGGTCGGGGGGGTGTCCGAGGTGGGGGACAGGCGCCCGGAGCCACTGCTCCCGGCACTCCAGTTCCCGCTGGAGGAGCCGGGGTCGTCCCGCGGGCCGCCCGGGGAGGGCGGGGGAGGAGGAGGAGAGCGCCCAGGCTGCCCCCGCGACGTGCGAATGGCCACCACCTCGGCCTTGGAGGGGAGTGCGGCCCGGGCGGAGACCTGGGCGGGGCGCATGGTGCCTGGCTCGTCCCCGGGGTCACGGCGGATCGACGGGGAACGGGCCCGGAGCTGGGAGCCCGTCGCATCCGCTGCCAGCTCGCCCTCTGGGCCCGGGAATCGCTCCTCGGACCGGCCCAGCGCCCTGCGTGCGTCTGCCAGCTCGTGCAGGGAGACCCTGGCTCCGGGACGCGGAAGGCTGTGGAAACGTGGCTGCTCAGCTCTGGCACGCACCGCACCGTCTCTGTCCCCGCCGCAAGACATGTCGGCCGACGATTGGGACAGTTGGGCCGCGATGCCCTGGCCCTTCTGGGCCCGGATCCTTCGGACGGAAGGTGGGATCACCTTGACCTCTTCAGTTTGACAGGAGGAGTCTCTGGTAGCTGACCTGCCCCTGTTGGCCTTGCTGCTTTCCAGGCGACTCATGGTGGAATAGTGGCCAGCCAGGATAACAGAGTGACCTCTGGCTGGTGTCTGCCCAGAGCCTATCAGTTAAAAGCAAAGAACAACATCACTGAGAAATGACGACAAACACTGGCCTACAGCACCGCTACCATTTAATGCAACTCTCCTAACACTTGCACTGATACAGCACCTTCCGTGCAATCACATATTCCCACCTGTTGTGCAGGCAGGAGTGTTGTCAGGAGAGAACTAACAACAAGTCAAAGGCAGATCAACCAAAGCTTGGTCCAAAAGATAGGGTTTTGAGGAAGGTCTTAAAGAGGTTGGAGAGGTCCTAATCACGAAGGTCTGGAGTTGGAGGAGGTCAGAGAGATGGTGAGGGGTGAGACCATGAAAGAATTTGTAAACAGGGACGAGCACTGTAAAATGGAAACTCTGCCTCTGAGAAAGTAAGTGGAGGTCAGTCAGTGTCAGAGTGAGCAGTGAATGGGTCTTTGCCGAGAGCTCAAACCTTGGATGAATTCAAGAGGGTGGAAAGACAGAAATGGCCAGGTCTAGAGGCCACAAAGTATGGCCGGTTATCTCAGATGGCCAGAGCATGGCGTTCAGGGCGGCAAGTTTATGGGTTCAATTTGACCCCATGCTGTCCTGAATGGTATTTAAGGGGACAGTGTACAGTAAGTTTTACTTTCCATTTACTTTTAGTTTAAAACAGTAGAGGAAACTTTACTCTGTATCTAACCCCATGCTGTCCCTGTCCTGGGAGTGTTTGATGGGGGGGATTGTGTCAAGGGAACTTTACTTTCAGTTTAAAAGACCACATGGGGGATTTACTCTGTACCTAAGCCTGTGCCGTCCCTGTCATAGGAGTGTTTACTGGGGACAATGTCGAGGGAGCTTTACTTTCAGTTTAAAACAGTCAAGGAAGCTTTACTTTCTGTATACTTTTAGTTTAAAGGAGTAGAGGCAGCTTTACTCTGCGCCTAACTCTGTGCTGTCCCTGTCCTGGGAGTGTTTGATGGGGACAGTGCAAGGTAATTTTACTTTCAGTTTACTGTCCATTTGAAAGAGTAGAGAGAGCTTTACTCTCCGTTTAAATGAGAAGAGGAGGCTTTACTTTCTGTTTAAATGAGAAGAGCAAGCTTAACTTTCCATTTAAGAGAATAGAAGAAGCTTTACTTGCCAGTTAAACGAGTAGAGGTCACAAAGGCATTGATGCAGATTAGTTGAGCTGAGGAAGGAGTGGAGCGAGATGGGAATGGAAGTCAGTAGTCGGATTACTAGGAGGTTGTGGGGTGAAAATCGCCAAACGTCCAGAAGTTGGAAGAGTAGACATGCAGCAGGTGGAGTGTCTACAGTACAGGGTTAGTAATCCAGCAGTTGACAGTTCAAATCTCAGCATAACGTGCTGTTGAAATTAAATGGAATGAAATCTGCTCGTTTTGAGAGGCACCAGTAAAAGAACAGCCCTGCCCTTGTTTTTCAAACCCTTCTGAAACTCCAGCCTTCCCGGGTTTGTATGTAGCTGACCCTCACTGACCCAGACAACCATTGCATTGGCAAAGCCCCACTGAAGGACATATGGCAAAGGAAGCCCTTGTTGTCAGCATTACAAGGAGAATAAAGGAAAAGAAAACACATCTTTCTGACAGCTGTGAATTCAGCAAGTTTGTTGAACGCAGTCCCTGCGCAGTGAGAAGTGTAATTTTCCAAAGACCCACCATAAAAGCCAGACAACGGGAGGTTAGTATTCCATCCCATAAACTCCCCTGGCCTTCGGGGAGATTGTTCCAGGGATTGTGGCTGCCCACAGACATCTCACGTTTTTGCTCCTTCATACCCAATGCTACTTGGTGAATATTTCTGAAACTGCCTTGGCTGTGGAATACATTACTGTAAGGAGCCCAGTGTCTACACACTCTCTCAGATACATGCATAGATACATGTCCCATACCCTGACACACACACACACACACACACACACACACACACGCAAAGGTAGGCTATTCAGCCCATTCAATCATGGCTGATAAAGTCTGTTTGATTTATCCACCTTCAGACCTTTCAGCTTCCCCAGCACCTTCTCCTTAGAGATGGCCACTACACTCACATCTGCCCCTCACTCTCTCGAAGTTCTGGTATGCTGCTAGTGTCAACCACAGTGTAAACTGAGGCAAAGTACTTATTTAATTCCTCTGTCATTTCTTTTTCCACCATTACAACTTCTCCAGCCTCATTTTCCAGTGGACCAACGTTTACTCTTGCCTCTCTCATTCTTTTAGACATTTAAAAGAACTTTTGCAATCGCCTTTTATACTACTAGCTAGCTTACCCTCACATTTCACCTTGTCCCTCCTTGTTGCTTTTTTTGGTTATCCTCTGCTAGATTTTTAAAGCTTCCCACTAATCTTCATCACATTGTTTGCTGACAGACAGACTGACGTGTGCACGCACACAAACACACACACACACACAAATGAGCAACACCCACATACACAAACGTGCACACAACCACTTTGTAATCACAAGAGGAATCCCTGCACTCACCCAGCCCTCTAGTTCAGAAACACTGCGACCAATATGCTGGCTGTGACCAGATAAGGTAGCAGCACGCAGTGGCTAAATCTTGGGTCTTGTTCTCCATAACTCACTTGGTTATTTTCAGGTGCACTTGGACAACGCATGCCAGCAGGTTATTTGGCCACAGAGTCATCGGATTTAGTCCCAATCCAACTTTGTTCCTGAAATCCACACACTGGCATGTTTCAGCACACTGCCGGATTGTAAACACACACCTAAGACACATATCAGCGCAAACTCATCAACACACTCTCCATCGTGCACACTTGCCAACACACACAAACATCCTCCTCATTCACACACTGATTTCTACGCTCCTGGAACAATTAATTGAACTTGAAAGTTATTTTAACCCGCAATTGTGATTAACTTTGAACTCTTTGTCTCTTTACTGTCAATCTCTAGTCTATTCCTCAGTCAAAGTTGAAAGCTTTGGGAAGTTCTGGGATTGTGAACAGTGCTACATTAATGCAAATCCATCAACTTCTTTCAGTTTCTTTGGATAATACTAACATTACTTGCAATGAATAGACTTGTTCCTTCACATAAACTTACCACAATATTCAACTCAAATTGAATATATCATCCCATGGCATAATGAGGAACACGTACTAAGTACCTCTACAACTTTGTGGAGATGGGGCTTAGAGAGTTAGATTATGAGCACAGATTGCATAAATTTGGACTCTAACCCCTTCAGTGTAAGGGATGGATGGCTGGTTCAATCAAAGTGTTTAAATGTCGAAAGGATTTGACAGGATAGGCAGTGCAGTGTTGTGGTATTTTGAATTTCAATGCTAACATTGTGCTCACTTAAAGCTGCCGTACAGGAGAACACCAGTAGATGGAACTGCAAGCAGAAACGAGATACAAGTATGGAGTGCTGTCAAAAGAAGCGACCACTGCTATTGTAAAGTCCTGACCTGTCTCTAACTGTTCAAAAACCCCACTGACACAAAGAAATAGTTTTCCTGACGGGAGGAGTCAAGAGAAGACATGTCAGGAAGGATCAACAAACTGCACAGAGCAGCTGGCTGATGTGGGATCTTACTATGCCACTTAGCTCAGTATCTCTCAGATTAGAGCTTAATGGACTGAGCTGGCGGTGAGGGACGGAAAAGGCTGAGAAATTCTCAGTCACTTTCACCTTCTGTCCAGAAAACACTTCCCTGGAACTTTTGACTGCTGGCTATCAGACTGTATTGGCAGGAGATGGATGGAAACTACCGGTTAATATACACACGCAGGGACAGACACACAGACTCATACTTGCACGTGTACACGCACACATGCACACGCACGGACAGAGCAACAGATGAGCGAGGGCAGGACTGGGAATACAGTGCTGATTAGCCATACCTAGTTCCTTCTGGACGGTGTCAGGTAGCCCGGTGATTGTCTTTCTCCGTTTGATTCTCGTAGCCCGTCTCAGCGCAGCGTCTGAGCGGACAAGAGAGCGCCTGGTGCCCGCCTGGCGATCGAAGCTCTCGCCTGGTAGGAAAGCAGCACAGCAAGTAAACGCAAGCGTTACGACACACAGCAACTGCCAAACTGAACCATTAAACCTGCAGCGCTCGACTATGTGTCTCCAGCCCCCTGCCAACTTTGCTTTTGCCCAAGTCCTTAACTGTACGTTTGAGGTCAATTGGGGTCAGAGACACAGGAACAGCAGGAAGTCTCACAGCCCTTTCGACACCATTCCCCATATTCAATGGGATCTTCTCCCACAATTCCACGTTCCCACCTGGTTTCCATGTCCCTTCATTGCCACGGCGGTCAAAAATCAAGCGACTTCAGCCTTGAACATAATAAACAAACATCTGCAGATCACTGGGGCAGAGAATTCCAAAGATTTGCAAAGCCGAGTGAAGGAATTTCCCCTCATCTCAGTCTGAAATGGATGACTTGCTTATCCTGAACCTGTGTCTCCCGTTCCCCACTTGTTCCAGAATCTCCTGCTGGGGACTAGCAGCCTCTCAGCATCCATCCTGTCAGGACCTTTGAGAACTTTATAATGTATTGGCCATGTCAACTGGGCTACAGAGACCTGGACTGGCAAATATTCCTCCCTCAGAAAATGCTCCCGCACACCCCGTTTGTGGGGTCTTGCTGTGCACAAATGGCTTCTTTGTTTCCGACATTAGAATATTGACCACAGAATACTCCCGGGTCTAAGGCGCTCTGAGATGACCTGAGTTTGAGGGAGGTGCTTTGGAAATGCAGAACATTTCACCAACTGTGTCCTGATCTAAATGTGAGAATGTTACCAAGGTGACACTGATCTTTTTGTCCCAAGGGAATTCAGGTCAAGAACTGAACTTATTGATTAAGCATGCTGACCCACTTGCTAAAAGACATCTTTGAAGGAAAGGGGGACGGGGACAACAACTGATAAATTAGTTATTAGAAACAGGGACCTTGTTGGAAAAAGAAATATGCCACTGAAGCTTCTTGCCTTACACTCATCAGGACAAACACAAGAATGCCAAACTTCAAATGCTCACAACAATTTATACTACAGGAATAAAGGATGCTAGTTGGTTGGCCGAACTGTTGCCATGGAGAATTATAGGCTGTCCAAGCTCCCGTTTAACTCAAAGGCTCACGGGTTGAACCTGTTCCTTGTTTGCAAAGAACAGGTTCCTGTGCATGAATGAATTAAACTAGCAGTTTAATTTTATCAAACTAGATGTTATTCTAGCTATTAGTGCACTCAGCGTTGTTCAGTAAGTGCTGTCCAATCATTGAAACATATCTTACAGTTGACATTTTATTTTGGGTTTTGCAACAGCTGGTCGATTATGGTCTGTACTCGCTGTTGTATGAATGAACTTTGGAACTTGCTGCTTGAGGCGGTCAGTCAGTCGCTGCGATGTTTGGCTGAGCCATAAGAAAGGGATCCAGCTGAAGTTGACACAGATTTGTTATCTGTGTTTTTACTGTGATGTGCAAACAGAATCCAACGAGATTAGGAACAGAGAAACTGAAGGAGACCTCACAGAAGGCACTGTTTGAAATTGGCAATGGGAGCAGTTGGAATGTGTCCAATCACAGCAAGTCCAACAATCTCTGAACATGCACCCTCTCACAGCAGAAGCAGCATCCACTGAATTTTGTTGCTAGCGGTCTGGGGCTCAGTCACCAGGCACACCGTGAGGAAAGGTGAACAGGACAGAACAAATTCCTCTGTACCTGGAGAAAGGTTGGAATGTGGACCTCACTACTGCAAGCTGTGGTTGAGACTAGTAATAGCGGGTGGGAGGATGGTTATGTGAAGCATAAAGTGCACATGGTCCACATGGCCCCTGTTTCTGTGCTGTCTTTGAAACAGGATGACTGTAGTTGCTGCGATGGGGGGGTGGAGGGAGGACAATGTAGAACTTATGGGTAAGGATGAACCAAGTGGGCCAAATGGCACCTCTTCTCACTTTCTCTCTTAATGTGTGCGTGAGTTACTGTAATGTCTTGGGTGGGATAGAACTATCGTGGGAGAACTTGAATATATCATCCTCTTTGGATGTTGTCTGGTGTCATCATTTATAGAACAGAATCACAATAGCAACAGGCTATTCGAGCCATAGTGTTTATACTGGCTCTCCGCAAGAGCTCAGCAAGTCCTTTTCCCCGACCCTTTCCCCAGAGCTGTACTAGTTTCTTATTTTGAAAGCCACAGGGATTTTGGTTTATGAGGGTCGATGATGGTTATGTGGTCACCATTAGGTTAGCTATCGATTCCGGATTTCTAGTGAATTCAAATTTCACAATGTTCTCTGGGTGGGATTTGAACCCATGTAAGCAGAACATTGGTCTGGGCTCTGAATTACTAGCCCAGTGACATTACCACTACATCACCACCTTTTTGTAGGAGCCTCCTTTCACAATACTTTGTTAAATTATATTAGCTCATTCTTTGATTTCTTTTTGCCTCATTCAGCCTTACCTCAAAAACATTTTCGTTGGTCACTCAAACTACAACTTCTAGTTTCGGGTACTACCTTTCCTTTGTTTCTATTATGTTGCTATTAACTTACCGAGTACACCATTCTGGAGTTTGCCTGGAGTTTCTTTAAGAAAATTGTTAGTGATTATGAAGCACAGATTTCATGTTGATTTTATATACACCACATGGTGTAATGCATCAATCTGATCAAAATGCTAAGACCACTGCTGACTGCAATGTAAAAATGGCACCACCCTTACAACTCCTTCTATTTCCCCATCACCGCGTGGAGATCTGTCCCCTGACCCCCACCCACGTACCTGTTACATTGATTGGGACGACATCGCTCTGTACTGCCTGGGCTTGTTGGCGCATCTTCTCCTCTGGCGTGGGCAGTGGCAGGGCCTTGGTCCAGTTGGTCTGGACATCAATCTCAGAGAGGTCACTGGGTACTGGGGTTTTAGATCTCCTGGAATAGTGCAACTTTTCCTCCTTGGCAGATGAGACCGCAGGCTTCATGAGGAGCACAAAAGACAATTTTAGGAAGGTGGAGAAAATCACTTGGTCCAAGAAACATATCTCTTTTGTCCATCCTTCTCCCTCCCCTTTTGTGTCACTTCTGTTTCCGTGGGAACAGCAGCAGGCTATTTAGCCCCTCCAATTTGTTTCATCTTCTAACTAGGCCATGCCTAATCTGTATCCTAACTCCATTTACCTGCCTTGGTAGTGTAAACTTTAATAGCTTCACCGACAAAAATCTATCAATCTCAGTTTGGAATTTTTCAATGTACACTCTCCCACTCCTCTCTAAAGAGTTCTAGATTTCCATTATTCTTCATGTGAAGGACTGCTTCCAGAATTGACCCACTCTAATTTTAAGGCAACGTCTTAGTAATCTATTCAGTTGTCCTAATCCCATTTATATGGTGCAGTTCAATACTCCCTCCCTGTTAATACTGTGCAATTCATTTTCCTCTCCTTTCTGTTTCTCTTCATTTTCTCTCCAAACCCCACCTCCCCTAGTTCCACTTCCATCATCATGATTCCTTGTTGGGCAACAGTGCCAAGGTATTCTATCAATTCCTCATGTGTACATTCAGACAGTGTGGAAGGCCATCACATCTGAACCCTGTCTTTCTGTAATCACTCTCACGTTCTCAGAGAGCAGTTGAAGAGTTGATGGCTTGGGGACAGCTGGGCAATGATCAGGGAGGACATTCCAGAATGATCTGGAATGTCCTCGGCACCGAAATCAAAGATGTTCTTCCTCTGCGCTGCTCGAGGTGGACAGCATTTCCCAAACCCATGACCTTCATCACCAGGGCAGCAGACACAAGGCCACACCTGAGTTACCCTCCAAGTTACACAACATCCTGGCTTGCAAATGTTCTCACTGTCGCTGGATCAAAATCCTCAGAACCCTAACACTACCAGCACTGTCAGGGTCGCTACATCACATGGACTGCAGCGATTCAAGAAGGGTGGTACGGTGGCTCAGTGGTTAGCACTGCTGCCTCACAGTGCCAGGGACCCGGGTTTGAGTCCACCCTCGGGCAACTGTCTGTGTGGAGTCTGCACATTCTCCTCATGTCTGCGTCGGTTTCCTCCGGGTGCTCCGGTTTCCTCCCACAGTCCAAAGATGTGCAGGCTAGGTGGATTGGCCATGCTAAATCGCCCGTTGTGTTCAGGGATGTGCAGCTTAGGTTATAGGGGGATGGGTCTGGGTGGGATGCTCCCAGGGTCAGTGTGGACTGGTTGGGCCGAAGGGCCTATTTCCACACTGTAGGGATTCTATTCTGTTCTAAGGAACTCACCATGACCTTCTCAAGTGCAATTAAGGATTGGCAGTAAATGCTGATCCAGCCAGCAGAGATCACATTCTCTGAATTAATAAGGAATAAACATACACAGGGACTTAACATGTTGAGATATGGTGGAGTCACTAGCCCATGACTTTATATCCACTGGGTGACAACTCATCCTAATGTCTAAAGTCTAAAACCTGTGTATCCAGTACGGTAACAAAAAAAAAGTCATTTGTTACTGCACAATTCTGAGCCATTTGAAATAGAATAGTACCAATCAGCTCCCAGCTTGGATGTACAAATAGTCATTTAGTTCCTATAACCAATGTCACGGGCTGCAATGACCATATTGTAGCTTAATGCTTTGTTAATGCTCGACTTTGGGAATGGGAAGGGTGTGGTTTGGGTGATGGCAGGGATTGGGGGCTGAGAATTGGAGTATTGGATTCATTTGTTGTTTTTTGTCAAGCCTGGAAACTATAGCTTTACTGACTGGAGGAGCCTGGGAGAGAATGAAGCAGTCAGCTGGTGGTAGGAATCAGGGAATCTACAGCTCGCCATATTTGTGGCCACAACTGAGTCTAGGAACAGTTTGATCTGATTTTCCTTTCCTAAAACTTTAATTACAAACAGCAAAGCTCTGTTCACGATCATATTCAGGACTGAGGCAGAGGAAAATAAATAAAGCAAAAAAAAAATTCCTCTGTTCTGCTGACAGGAAGACACCCCTGTTTAAACCGACAACTTGCTGTCTGCTAGGCCACAGCACCAGAATGGTAGCTCTGTAATACAGCAGCTGCCAGCACGACCCCCACACACATTATTTCAGGTCAATCATTGCTCACTTGCAGGCCCCTACAAGCAGTTCCTCTTTGGCCTCGATTTCAGGGATGGATTAATAATGGCACAAAACTGATCTCCCCCTCTGGCCCAGCAAGGTCAATGAGGATAGCTGTCCATTGATACTGCTTCATTCATTGGGAAGTGGAGACTAAGGCCTCTCTTCCTGCCTCGGCAAAGGGAGATGAGCAGAGGAACAGGGAGGGGATGTCAGGGTTTAACCGTATCCCAGGGGAACTGACTAAAACCCAGGGCCTCTACCTGTCGTCTGAGTCAGGGAATGGGTGATGGGGAATGAGGGAAGGGAGTGCAGACCCGGTCAGTGAGGGGCTTGATTTTAACAGGACACGTGGGGTCACCTTGTCTCATTGCAGGGGCAGCCATAACTAGTCCCAGTGCTGCTCCACACCCAGGCTTCCCCAGCCCAGTCTGAGCTCAGAAACCCCAATCCCACCCCCAGCCTGTGCTCAGCAGCCACACCCCACCCCTACAGGCCCCGGTTATTATATACTGATAGATCCCTGGCCTATTCCCACTGTGCGTGTGCAGTCTTACTGGATAACAAAGTCGTGGCTCTTGTGTCAGCACACCATCAGGGGAGTTGTGTGTGTGCAGTGTGTGGCTGGAGGCAATTAAGACCATCTTAATTCAATTATCCAGAGAGATCCCAAAGCTGTCTGAATTTCAGCATCCGATAATTTCTTCAGAAGTTTCCATCTCCATTGCTCCTCCTAGCCCTTACTCCAAAGGCTGGTCGCTATGGATATGGTGAGAAATTCCCAATTTACATCAGAATCTACTGAACCCATCCCCTTAACTGTTTGGTGTGAAAAATACCCTTGTTGAGGTATCTCTGCTTCCTGCATTTTTCTCACATGTTAATCCCCCACTAAGATCTTCCTCTGGTAGCCTCCAGTCACTGCACACTCACTGGTTCAGGTCAGTCACTGTCAGTTGACACTGTGGCACAGTTTAGCAAGTGGCTAGAAGCAGGAGGTTAGCAGTGTCTGAGGTAGGACCAGGCAGCAACGTGACAAGCAATACTGGAACAACCACCCTCTGCCCTCCAATGGAGAGGAACCTTGTCAAGAAGCTGCGAGATGCACAAATACACTAAACACAAACAAATACAACCCTCTGTTCTGAAAGGTTCAGGCTGTTAGTATCTGGCAGGTGATTTCACAGCAGTGAGTGTTATCCTTGACCACACAGTGCAAACCCACACTCTCTATCCAATGTAAACACTGCAAGGCAGGCTTGAGTCAGTCAGTGAACACTGTGTACACCTTATTGCTGCCACCTCAGCCCACAGCTCTGGATCCTTCACCGTGTCCTTTTGCTGCTCAGGATGGCTACTTGCTGGCAAAACATTAGACAGTGCTCGGAAAACTGTGCTATGGGGGAGGAGGTTAGTTTCAGGAGTGGGTGAGATAGGATGGGATGAATGGCCTCCTCCTGCATTGTAACAATTCTGTGACTTGAAACGAACAAAAAACAGAATTTCCTGGAAAAACTCAGCAAGTCCGACAGCATCTATGAAGAGAAAACAAAGTTTATGTTTTGAGTCATACAGCACGGAAACAGACCCTTCGGTCCAACTTGTCCATGCTGACCAATTATGCCCAAAACTAAACTCGTCCCATTTGAGTCCAGTAACCCTTCTTCAGAACTGACAGAACGCGTGAGTTTCTCCAGCAATTTCTGTTTGATTCAGATTTCCAGCTTCCACATTTAATTCTGCGACTTACTGTCCATCTCCCCTATGCCTGCTGACAAGACCAGCCCTAGAGTTTAGAAGAATGACAGGGGATCTTCTGGAAACATAGAAGTCCTGAGGGAGCCTGACAGGGTAAATAGTGAAAGGCTGGTTCCCTTTGTACAAGGATCCAGAATCAGGTGGCTCAGTTTCAGGATAAGGGGTCTCCTATTTAAGGTGGAGGTGAGCAGGAATATATTTTCTTGTTAGTCCTTGAGAACAGTAAAGGCCAGTATATTGAATATATTGCGTTCAATTCTAGTCTCCCTGCTATTGGAAAGATGTTGTCAAAATGAAAGAGTTCAGAAAAGATTTACAAGGATGTTGCCAGGGTTGGAGGGTTTGAGCTATAGGGAGAGGCTGAATAGGCTGGGGCTATTTTCCCTGGAGCATCGGAGGCTGAGGGGTGTCCTTACAGAGGTTAATAATATCATGCAGGGCATGGATAGGGTAAATAGGTATGGGAGTCTGAAACTAGAGGGCATAGGATTAAGGTGAGGGGGAAAGATTTAAAAGGGACCTAAGGGGCAACTTTTTCACACAGAGGGTGATGCATGTATGGAATGAGCTGCCAGAGGAAATGGTGGAGGCTGATACAATTACAACATTTAACAGACATCTGGATGGGCACCTGAATAGGAAGGGCTTAGAGGGATATGGGCCAAATGCTGGCAAATGGGACTAGATTATAGGGCGGCAATGGCCTAGTGTTATTATCGCTGGACTGTTAATCCAGATACCCAGATACCGTTCTGGGGACCAGAGTTTGAATCCCACCATGGCAGATGATGGAATATGAATTCAATAAATATCTGGAATTAAGAATCTAATAATGACCATGAATCCACTGCTGATTGTTGGGAAAAAACCATCTGGTTCACTAATGTCCTTTAGGGAAGGAAACTGCTATCCGTACCTGGTCTGGCCTACATGTGACTCCGGCCCCACAGGAATGTGGTTGACTCTTAACTGCTCTCTGAGCAATAAATGTTGCTTAGCCAGCAACCCCCCCTTATTCCATGAATGAATAAAGGAATTTAGGATATCTGGTCAGCATGGACGAGTTGGACCAAAGGGTCTGTTTCAATGCTGTACATCTCTGTGACTCTATATTGAAGGCTGAGTTACATAGATTTTTGATTGACAAGGGTGTCAAGTGTTATGGGGTTAAGGAAAGGGCTGACGCATGACATGCAACAAGGGAGCTGCATTCGCACAGGGTGCTGTCCCAGAATGCATTGTAGAGGTGAAAGGGCTCTATTAAAAATGTATCAATGAAATAACATGAGTGTTTTCCTTCTGTCTTGTGGGATCCTTGCCCAGCAGAGACAGGTAGGTAGGTCTCTGGGTTGGTTAAGGCTCAGGAATCATATATCAGACACCAATGTCCTTCAGCTTTCCAAACAGTCACTCACTAAATAGCCAAGGGAGCAGAGGGTGCATTTTTGTAAATGAGAGCTCAATACATTGGGAAGCAAAGATATGGAGAAGCATCTTATTGTCTGTGATGTGGAGTATTACATAGAGAGGCCCTAATGGAAAACACTAAGTGGGAACCTAGCCTGAGCCGTAAAGTTGGTAATGATAATTTGGAACGTCTCCCAAATATGTTACCAAGAGACTAATTTCAAACAGAACTCTTTCTGAGATTCAAATGGAAGTGATTTTCATTCATAGGTCAGTCATTAAAGGCAGTGTGAACTGAGGCATAGAAACCAAAAAGGCACATACTCCATTCCATTACCTTGATTGTACTGATTTAAAAAGACAGAAAAGGAATTACATAGCTATCGTGTTTTACATGATCACTGGTCTCAAATACTTTCTGAAATCTGGTCACAGTTGTAATGCAGCAGGCAATTTGAACATAGTAAGCTCTAGACAACACATGCTAACGATTACTGATATTGACTGAGAGATAACCATGGGCCAGGCAACGAGGGGATAACCTGTTTCCTGTCTACTGGAGTGGGGTCTTTGAAAAGTTGAAAAACCTCCCATCTGAAAGAAGGCACCTCAGACAGTGCTGCACTCCCTCAATGATGCAAGGGCAGTGTCAGCTTTGACAGAAGTCCCTTGAACTCAGGACCTTGTGCCTCTGGAGTGAGACAACTACCAAATGGAGCCACAGCTGATGAGGCTAATTTCTAGCCTGGTTAGAATTTGGGATGGTTTATGGTACCATTGACTCCAGGACTGAAGGAAAATCCTCCCAATCGCTATACAGTGATCCCCATTCCTAGCAGGACATAGTGGAGGTGCATAAAGTCTGATGGCACTAGGGTCAACTGACCTACTGATACGTCCCATCGAGGGTCAAGCGTGTGGAGGGTACGCTGTTAACTAAAGCAGGGTGTGTTCAGCCACTATGGAACATCACCCCAGTATCAATGAAGAACCCGAGATTTCAAGGACAGGGTAGGCTGGGTGGTTTTAGGCATTAGATAGGCATCAAAAGCAATTGACAGGACACAACAATAACAGTGCTTGCTGAGCGAAATGTCATATCAAGCCAATCCAATTAATGATTCCTGTTGTGATTTGGCGTAAAGCATCTTCTTACCGAGGGGTGCACAAAGTCTGGTGCTGTACGAATGCGAAGGAAGAGGCAGCAGGAACCCAGGTTGTTTGGGAGGAGGGTCAAGGGGGATGGTCAGGGATTGTACAGGGAGTGGGGTCTACAAGGGGCTGCAGACATGGCTCAGACAAGCGAAGCAATTTGCTGAATTAGTGTGCAGAGCGTGTGTACCTGGTTGTCCCATGAAGTCAAATGGCAGCAGAGACTAAGGCAGCTTAAGAAGTTATGTTGCTGGAGTGAAAGAACAGAACAGAGGAAAGAGAGAACAAAAAAAAGTGACTAAAATAGAGAAACAAAGGTGCAATTAAAACTCCCAGCGGCACAGCATGCTGTAAAGATAAGCATGTGGTTTTAAAGGGGTTAGTCCCCTTTAAAACAGGCGATATTGCCCACCTGAATGACCAAAGTATGACCAAAGCACAAGTATACCATAGGGCAGTGGCAGTCAGCTCAAGGACAGTTGGATTTTACATGCCATTTTAGAATTAGAAACACTTTGATTTCTGCACTGAGAAAACTCTTGAACACTGTGCTCAGAAATGACGGACGTGAAGGAAGCTTAAATATAATCCCAGCCAACATGAAATCTTTAGGTGTGTTGGCAGGGCAGAATTTATTGCTCTTCTGTAGTTGCCTTCGGGACATTAAGATTCAACGACACAGAGTGGGATGAGAGTTAGTTATCGTCCAGGCCAAGTGTGGATGAAAGGCTTCCTTCCCTGAAGGGCAGGAGTCAACTAATTATTCACTTTCACAACCTGTCATGGGTCAGATCTAAAGTCATGACTTTTTAGGGTTGCTGAACCAGGATTATAACCACAACACTCCCTTAAAGGGAAGTATTCTGCTAGCAGAAAGACTTGCATTTGTATAGCACCTTTCACAGCTGCTGTGTGTCACAAAACACCTGGCAAGTCAGTGAAATACTCCAAAACCAGTGAAATACTTTCAAAGTATAGTCACTGTTGGAGGAAATAGCAGTGTATTTGTGCACAACAAGCCCCTATAAATAGTAAAGTGATAATGATCAGAAACAGATGCTGATAAAAGGATCAGAATTGGTCAGGGCAACAAGGAGAGCTCCCCTGTCCTTTTAGACAGTGACATGGCACACTTACATTCATCTAAAAAACAAAAGCAGACCGGATCTCAGTTTACCACATCATTTGAAAAATGGTATCACTGATGGTCCATCACTTCCTAAAAATTGAGTTTTTGCATTCAGGTCCCTGGAGTGGGGCTTGAACCCAATATTTTCATTGGTACAAGTGTCCTGAACAGTCATCAACCCAACTCTTTCTCTCTCTGTGGATGTTGCTTAATTTGCTGACTATGTCCAGCGATATTTCCTTTTCTTTCAGATTTTCAGCACCTACGACATTTTTATCTTCATGTGTTACGGTTCTGCGTCATGGTAAAGCCTGCCAGGATTTGGGCTTTTGTGGTGCAGTGGTAGCGTCCTACCTCTGAACTAGGAGATCTGAGTTTAAAAGTCCCACCTGGTCCAGTGGTGTGTCATAACACATCTGAACAGGTCGACCAGAAAACATCTAAGACTCCCAGAGTTGAAAATCATGTGAAATTGGGAGCAGGAGCTGAACTGGGTGTAATTTGCTCTAGTTGTGCTGTTAAAATGTTAATTTTGCCTGCACATTTTCCAAGAAATTTCTTCTCCCACTGGATAAGGGCTCAAAGGAAAAATAGATTATTCACCAGTTTTTAAGTGGGGAGATGTGGGGTCAGTTTAGGTTCACATGTACTCACCCCAAAACCCCATATACTCCCAATGAGATGTCACAACAAGATATCCTTTTAGATTTTGGATGTTGTAAAGAGCAAGTCAAGGGGCAAAGTCTTAACAAAGCGCTTGAAAAAAGACCTTTTGTCAGTCTTACCACTCGCTCCTGATCCTCCTCCTCATCCAAGCAACTGGCAGAGTGATTTGATGATGGCAAGGTGAATGTTGGACCCTGTGAGTAGTACTGGGAACTGTGAAAACCATCCTTCCTTAGTTTATCGCAGTCTGCAAACACAGAGAAAGAAAGAGGGTGAGTCTGAGCGCAGCCTCGGAGCAAACTGACCATCTGTTAGAAGCAAAACCAGTTCAACCTTCATTAGAATTCACATCGACACTCAGGAGCTAACAGATACCAGGGTTCCCAACACAGACCCTAAGCAGCTGAGACTCCATGTCGAACATACCCAGACTGCTGCTCCTTGCTTTCTTGGTAGTACGGACAGGGATTCCTGCCACCTGAGCCGGGATAGTGAGAGAACTGGAATGAACACAGAGAAACCTGTAGAAACTCAGCAGATTTGGCAGCGTCTGTACAGTGAGAAAAACAGAATCAGTGTTTTGAGTCTGATAGGACTTCTTCAGAACCCTGAATCAGACTTGAAACGTTAACCCTGTTTCTCTCTTCACAGATGCTGCCAGACCTGTTGAATTTCTCCAACATTCTCTGTGCTGGTTTCAGGTTCCCAGTGTATACAGTATTTTGCTTTAATTCCAATATGAGAGCTGGCCCTGCTGTTGCTCAAACAGACCTAGCTCGGGACTCGGGGAGATGGGAGGGGTTCCAAATCAACTTGTCATTTATTCGGTTTATTAGCCAATGACATATAAGCCAACAGCTTTAAATTCATTTGATGTGTTTTTTAATGCTGTATCGGAGGATGAATCTGAACATAGATCACACTGCCACAAATACTCGACACAAATGCATTTAAGGAGAAGCTGGATAAACACAAGCAGGAAGGAATGGAAGGATATACTGATCAGGAGGTGGTTCATGGGGAGTGTAAACACCAAAACAGATCTCCTGAGCCGAGTAATGAATGAACCTCAATGTGTTTGTCTTATTTAGGGGTATGTGCTTCTGGAGCTCTGGTCCTGATCTTGCTGGGACTTGCATCGAGAGGCAGAAGGTGCTTAAAGGCTCATTAATCCCTTCGAGATGGTATTACTGGGAACAAATTGCATTAATGTACAGATGAGGAGACAACATTCTGTCTACCACGAGTTCCCAGGGGAGGAGGGGGGAGGATCATTTTTGCTGAAATATATCATTAACCCACTGTAGCCATGGAATGAAGTGGTATGCGAGTGGGAGAGAAAGTGGAGAACTGACATTGAACAGACAGTTGTTCTGTTCATCAGCTGTGGCTCAGGTAGTAGAACTCTCACCTCCTGAGCCAAATCATTGTGGGTTAAGTACCACTCCTGGGCTGCTGATTGTGAATTACAGGAGACACTTCACTGTAGCCCTGAGGGAGCTACACTCTCAGGCTTGATGGCATGACTTCATCTGTGATGCCGCGATCAATCATCGTAAAAACAGATTCTCTGGGCGTCATTACTTTGTCATGGCCTCTGTGCAAACCTCCACATTTCTCATATTACAATTCTGCAACTTGAAAGATTCGCAGGGCTATGAGGAAAAGATGTCAGCGGGTGAGCTGTCTCTTTAGAGGGTCAGCACAGACATGATGGGCCAAATGGTCTCCATCTCTGCTGTAACCATTCTGTAGTAGCTACATTTCAACAGACATTCATTGACTGTGAGATTTCCAGTGGTTGTGAAAGGCACTACACAAGTGCAATTCTTTCACTGAACCAGCTGTGCTGACAATATACTGACCCAGGGTGGAAGCTGAGCATTCTCAGATGAGTAGTTCGACTCCTACACCCTCAAAGCTTGAAGAGAGGGGTGTGATAGAATCTTCATCACTCACTCGTAACTTTGCAGTCGGAATAACATGCACAATTCACATTGGCTCTGTGTCACCTGGGTGTCCACTCCATCCAACATTGCACAACAACTTATACAGCAGCAATATCCCAAAGATATAGTGACAGAACAGTCCTCTGCAGGATTTGTATGAGGAGTAGCCAAGCACACATTGATTTATCATACTTAATCACATATTGGGTAGTGTTATAGTTTTGCGCACACTATCAAGGTCATAACCTACTCAGAAACCAAATTCAGGCACCAATTCAGCATTGTTACTCATTTACACCACTGTAAATGAGTAACAGTAGTGAATTGGCACTGGGATGGCACGGTGGCTCAGTGGTTAGCACTGCTGCCTCACAGCGCCAGGGACCCAGCTTCGATTCCCTCCTCGGGTCTTTATGGAGTTTGCACATTCTCCCACTATCTGTGTGGGTTTCCTCCGGTTTCCTCCCACAGTCCAAAGATGTGCAGGTTAGGTGGATTGGCCATGCTAAATGGCCTGTAGTGTTCAGGGATGTGCAGATTAGGTGAGTTATAAGGGGATGGGTCTGGGTGGGATGCTCTGAGGGTTGGTGTGGACTTACTTGTTGGGCCGAAGGGCCTGTTTCCACACTGTAGGGATTCTATGATGATAATTACTAATCAAAAGGTCCTTATGAAGTGTCTTAGAAAAAGTTTGGTCACTCCTGTTCACGTGCTCCATTTTTATATCTCTAAGCTGTAGAATTACAGGCAATGACTAAGACAATTTAATGTCAGGGCACGGACTGCTTTCCATCATCATCAGCAATTTATCTATCCTTGCTGGGGTTCACTACCAACTAGTTCTGAAGTCTTACTTATCCAGATCCCAAACGTCTGCAATTCTCATTCAAACGGAATCAGAGATACAAAATGGGAATTCATAGAATCCCTACAGTGTGGAAGCAGCTCGTTGTGTCCACATGAACCCACCGAACAGCATCCTATCCCTGTAACCCTGCATTTCCCAAGGCCAACCCACCCTAGCCTGCACACCTTTGGACTGTGGGAGGAAACCGGAGGAAACCCACGCTGACACCGGGAGAATGCGCAAACTCCACACAGACAGTGGCGTGAGGATGGAATTGAACCCGGGTCCCCTGGCGCTGTGAGGCAGCAGTGCTAACCACTGAGCCACCGTGCCGCCTCCAATTCTGAATGCTTAGGATCCAGATAATGGGGACTTTACTGGGATTAGCAATTCGATAAAGGCAGAAACGCCTATTGCAGTCAGGCACACTGGTATTTAAGAGCAGTCCTAGCTGTTGGGTTTTAAAACTCAAATTCACCTTGTGGCAGCAACAAGTCATGTTCTCCCAACTACCGGCATGTTCCTTATGCACCCGGCAGATTCAGATCACTGGCAACACCCCCCACCCCCAACCCCCAATCCCTGTTTCCTGGGTTTACTGGGTACCAGGGAGGTTACTGATGTTCTGTCTTCTCCCTTACGTCAGTGTTAGCTCAGCTCTCTCCTTCTTTCCCCCTCTGTGACAGTTGTTCTCTTTATCATTTTTCTCTCTCCATTTGCATTGTCACGCTCACTCTCTGTTGTGCCCTGTCAATCTTCTCTGTCTCTCTCTCGGTTACTCTCACATTCGGACTCACTTTCACCTCCAATTCCCTTTCGAGGTCTGTGTCTCTCTCACAAACAAATGGGGTCTCCCAATATTAAATGCCATTTCCACCCAGCCCCAAACTCTGAAATTATTCCCAGAGCAGGACGGAAGGCGGAGGGGGTGGCTGAGGTAAGCAGGTGCTCCAAGTCTTCTGTTACATCTGGAATCAATGCACTCCCGTCTGCTCTTCTACATTCCACCCTCTGGAAACAGAGGTCATCCAGACTCGGTTGGCCCTATCCTAACATTGCCACAAATCCCATTCCCTATCAGCCTGAGACAGCTCCCCTCCCAACATCGGCTCCCAGTTAAACAACATCTTGACTTCAAGCATCTCATTCTTGTTTTCAAATCCCTTCTTGCCATCGAGCCTCCCTGCGCCTGTAACCCCAGAACGCTCCGAGATCCCAGAGTTCCTCTATTTCTGGAATCTTGCAAATTCCTGATTTAAATTTGCTCCATCATCGATGGCCGTGCCTATAGCTGTATGGGCTCCGAGCTCTTGAAATCCCTTGGCACACCTCTCTGCCTTGCTTTCTTCCTTCAAGTCACTTTTTGAGGCTTATCCCTTTGAACAAGAACACAAGAAATAGTAGGAATAGGCCATTCAGGCCTGCTCCGCCAATGGACAACATAGTGGGTGATCCAACTGTTGTGCCATTTCCACTTTCCCACCTGCCCACCACACCTCTGGACTCCCTTGTTGATCGCACTCTGAATGATCCAGCCTGCAAGCGCTTGGTTGCCTGTCTAACATGTTAGTTTTGTGTCACATTTTGTATAAAACCCTCCTGGTGAGTGCTCTGGGATGCTTCAGTGTGTGAAATCACTATGTAACCATGAGGTGTTGTCACTGTTTGAGAGCAGCGTTCAGAAGTGGGCACCACTGGGCCTGTCCTGAAGCTGGTATCTAATGTGGCAACCCCATAACCGGACCCTCTAGACTTGCACAGGCAGAGCTGCATGCTCATGTACAATTAGAAAGTCCAGTGTTGAATTTACAATTGCTCTTTCACACCCAGCTGCTGTCTGAGAGACTTGGAACATCATCATCTCAGAAGCCCTCCCCCACTGCGGCACGGGGTGGGGGGGGGTTGGGGGGGAGAGCGGGACTTATCCCAGGCATATGGCGAGGTTGGCAGAATGCTGACACAAGGCCGCCGGAAAGCCAGGCTGCCTGGTTCAAACAGCTCCATTGTCCGAGCTCCGGAGAACAGAAGAAAAACAACGCTGGGAAAAACGTGGCAGTGTGACAGCTGGGCCAGCGCACTCAGAGAATTGAGCCAGACAGACTCACAGCGACCTTTTGCCCAGAACCCGACACACATCTCGACAGAGAACAAAAACAAAATGTTCATCTCGGGGCCAAACAGCCCCTGAGCAGCTGCAGCACCCACGTTACGAACTGAAGGTGCACATAGCCCTCGCTCTGCCCCCACCCCCACACCACCACCACCACCACCACCACCACCTTTTGTTTGTCACTGAAGGAATGCTCAGTGAAAGCAACTGCTGTTACACATGCCTCAGTGGGTAGCACTCTGGCCTCACAAGGAATTCAAGTCCCGCTCCAAACCCTTTGGCCCCGAGCCCAAGCTCACAGTCCTGCTGCCGTACTGAGGGAGTGCTGCAGCGTTGGAGGT